GGGGTGTAGGGTTTAGGGTCCTGCGAAGTGTTTGTATGTGTGTGGGGGGAGAAGACGGGAAAAATGGATTGGAAGTGGAGCCCTAAACCCCTTTCCAATAGGCCCTTCGTTTCCTGAAGCCCGAAAACCCTTAAAACACCGAAACCAAACGCCAAACCAAACATCTGCCCCAAGCCCAAAAGCTCCAAACCCCAGGCACCTACACCCCTAAACCCCTTCAACCCTAAACCCTAAACCCTAAATCCTAAACCCTAAACCCTAAACCCTAAACCCTAAGCCCTAAATCACCTGGGAGGAGCTCCTGGCCGCGGCGACCTCCCGAGGCCTCGACGGCGTGTGGCCGTGGCCGCAGAAGGCCCTAAGTCTCTGAACCCCTATAGGGGTAGTTAAATGGAGGGTTTAGGGTTTAGGGTTTAGGGTTTAGGGTTTAGGGTTTAGGGTTTAGGGTTTAGGGTTTAGGGTTTAGGGTTTAGGGTACGTTTTCGTGTGTTTTTTGTTCGCGCAAGGTAGCTTCATTATAATATGTCTACTGGGCTCCCAATCTTCACTCCGAGGCTTTTTCCTGGCGGTTCGCTGGCGCTTCTGGCGCCACGCCTGGCGGTCGTGGACGCCGCTGGGACTTTTCTCCGTGCGTCCCCTCTAAGGGGGCCTAGGATTGTTTTTGGTTGGGGAGGTTGCTTGCTGATGTTCTGATTTAGGGTTGAGGGCTTAGGGTATGTGTTCGTTTTTTTTGCTTGCGGGTTTGGGGTTTAGGGTGGGGTTTCCGTGTTTTGGGGGCGACTTTGGTCGGAGGTTGGGGGGGGGAGGGGGTGGTTTCTGAAGCTTGGCTAGCGTTTGTCAGCACCCCCGGGAGTCGAAGATAGTCGAAGCTTAGACACCAACTGCAGGGCTTGGGGTTGCAGGGTTTTAGGGTTTTGGGGTTTTGGGGTTTTGGGGTTTTGGGGTGTTGGGGTTGTGGGGTTTTGGGGTTTGAGGGTTTGAGGGTTTTGGGGTTTTGGGGTTTTGGGGTTTTGGGGTTTTGGGGTTTTGGGGTTTTGGGGTTTTGGGGTTTTGGGGTTTTGGGGTTTGGGGTTTTGAGGTTTTGGGGTTTTGGGCTTTGAGGGTTTGGGGTTTTGGGGTTTTGGGTTTTTTAAAGGGCTCTTTAGGGCTTTAGGGCCTTTAGGGGCTTTGAGGGCTTTTGGGGTTTGGGAGGGGTGGCTGCAGACCCGAGGATGACAAGCAGGAGGGAGTCATGCAGCAGCTGATCTCCGACATGTTCACGAAGATGAGCCTGCAACTGGGCTTGAAGACTGCGGGCGCGTAAGGGTTTGGTTTGAGTGTTTCAGGCTTTGAGGCTTTGAGGGTTTGAGGGTTTGAGGGTTTAAGGGTTTGGGGTTGAGGGAAAAACCCTAAACCCTAAGCCCTAGCACGAAGCCCCTAACCCTAAAGCATATTTATAACCCTGCTCTGGGTACTTGTAACCCTACCTGCAGGTGCCCATGAACCTCCAAGTAAGCCTTGCTCCTTGCGGCGCCAAGGAAAGCGTGAGGGGCCAACCTCTCCGCGCGGGAGCTGCAAAGCGTGAAGGGATCCCTCGAAACCCCTAGCTCCAAAAGGCCAAAGCAGCAAGTTCAGTGTGCAAGCCAAGTGTAGCACCTTCCTGAAAGAAGTGCAACTGCAGAAGCCCTGAGCCCGAAACCCGAAACCCGAAACCCGAAACCCTAAACCCTAAACCCCAAACCTCAAACCCTAAACCCTAAACCCTAAACCCTAGCAGCCCCAACACGCTGGAGCCAATCCCTGCTGGGATGTTTCACCCTGGCGCCCGCACATCGGGGAAGCGGCAAGCAGGTGGTCTCATCATAGCACGGGCTCCACTTCCAAAGGAGAAAGGGTTCAGGGTTTAGGGTAATTAGGTTGCATTTATAAATTAATTTTATTATGGGAAAATAACAAACAAAACATAATTGGTTATTCTGGGGGCTTGGGGTCTTGGGTTCAGGTACGGCTCTTGGGGGGAGTTCAGAGATTAGGCGAAAACCCTAAGTCCAAACGCTCGAGGAAGCTTTGGGGTGTAGGGGAATGGGAGCTCACGATGGCTGGACCTTAAGGTTTAGTGGATTTGGGGCTTAGGGTTTAGGGAGTTGGGCATGTGGGGGCCTAAGGCTAGTTTAGGCTTACAAACGCTCTACAAGTCAAAAGTTGGGTGAAGGGCCTTTGCGGGAAGTGGCTGCCCAGCTATGACGGTAGGATGCCGAGAGAGGCGCCAGAAAGCAGCTTGCAAGTGTGACCCTGGACCGATAGACTCTTAGACTGCTGAGCCCCCCCCCTAAACCCTAAACCCTAAGCACTGAACCCCTAACCCTAAGCCCTGAACCCTGAACCCTAAACCCTAAACCCTAAACCCTAAACCCTAAACCCCAAACCCCAAACCCTAAACCCTAAAGCCATGCCCTGAGCACCCAACCCCAAACCCCAATCACACCGAACCCAAACTCCAAACGCGAAACCCGCAGCCCTAAACCCCGCACCCTCGACTCTAGACCTGACCTCTTACAGGTCCCTGGGGAAAGGCAACTTGTGTTGCCTTGAAGTCCTTCTTCAAGGTAGTCGTAGGGTTTGGGGTTTAGCTGAGGGCTGAGGGCTTTAGGTCTCAAGGTTTTGGTGTAGGATTTTAAATCTCATGATCCCCGACTTTTCCTCAGGTCGAATTTCGCGTTTCTCTGAGGCGTTTGCACCCCAAGCCCCAAGGCAGATGTCACAGGCTGCAGCCATTTCAGGCTCCAAAGAGGTGTTAGGTTCGCGCGATGTCGGTGACAGTCGAGGTGACCCTGATCAGCGGCCGGAGGATTTCGCTGGAGTCCTCGCCCCAAGCCACCGCGGACGCCCTGAGGACGCGCAGAGCGCATTGGCGGCCGGCCGCGGCCGGCTGCTGAACTCCTTGGGGCATGTCTTGGATGGGATGAGGACCCTCCAAGAGTGTGGAGTCAAGTGTGGCGATGTGCTAACTTTAAGCCTGGGGCAGGTGCAAGTCTCCACTTGTTCTACTGCAGCTGCTGCGCTTCGTGGCGACGGATCTGTGGTGACTTGGGGCTATGCACCCCACGGCGGGGACAGCAGCGCCGTGCAAGACGAGCTGAAGGGAGTGCGACACGTTCAATCCTCCGGCGGTGCCTTCGCTGCAATCCTGGATGACGGGTCCGTCGTGACTTGGGGGCATCACCGAATGGGTGGTGACAGCAGTGCTGTGCAGAAGCAGCTGAGAGACGTGAAGCAGGTTCAAGCTTCCAGAGCTGCTTTCGCAGCGATCCTGGGTGATGGATCTGTCGTGACTTGGGGGGATGCGGACTCTGGCGGTGACAGCAGTGCTGTCCAAGATAGGCTGCAAGATGTACGGAAGATACAGGCCTCCCGGAATGCGTTTGCTGCAGTCCTGGGAGATGGATCTGTCGTGTCATGGGGCAGTGCTGCCTGTGGGGGTGACAGTTCCGCTGTGCAGCGTCAGCTGCGGGATGTGCATGATGTTCAGGCCACTGACAAGGCTTTTGCTGCAATCCGAGGTGATGGATCGGTGGTAACTTGGGGTGTTGCTGATTACGGAGGTGACACTGGCGCAGTGCAAGATCAGTTGAAGACTGTCAAGCACATCCAAGCGTGCTGTTCAGCTTTTGCCGCTCTCCTCGCTGATGGGGCCGTCGTCACCTGGGGCGATGCGATCCATGGCGGAGACAGCAGTGCCGTGCAAGCGCAGCTGAACGACGTTCAGCACATACAAGCCGGGAGCCAAAGTTTCGCTGCAATCCTGAAGAATGGATCAGTCGTTACATGGGGCGACCCCGAGTCGGGTGGTGACAGCGGTGCTGTACAAGATCAGCTCACGCACGTGCGGCAGATCCAGGCATCCTTCTTGGCTTTTGCCGCGCTCCTGGCCGATGGGTCCGTGGTTGTGTGGGGCGATGCCCGAAACGGAGGTGACGGCGGAGCCGTGAAAGGCCAACTCCACAACGTGAAGCAGATCCACGCTTCGGGCAACGCGTTTGCAGCGCTCCGGGACGACGGATCTGTTGTAACCTGGGGAGATCCCACTCTTGGTGGCGACAGCCTTGCTGTGCAAGACCAGCTGGAGAATGTGCAGCACATCCAGGCCTAGTAGTAGAGTAGGTAACCTTTAACCTTTTTGGGCTAGTATATTCCCCTTAGAATCCCAAAAAGGTTAACCTTTAAAACCCCTAGGACCACTCAGCAGGCAAGTGAGGCAGCTTTCGCTGCGATCCTGGGCGATGGAGCGATTGTGACCTGGGGCTACGCGCGTCATGGCGGCGACAGCAGCGCAGTGCGCGAGCAGCTGTCATAAACCTGGCAAGCTTCCGGGGGAGTTCACGCTTCAGGGTTTCCACAGCTTCAGGGGCTTGCAAATATTTTTTGAGGGCGCGGGACCCGAAGTGCCGATTGGGCTTGATCATGGGGTTTGTTAGAAAGTTCACAGGGTTCATGCTTCCAGAAATAAGGAAGCTTGTGTGTCGATGCGACCCGGCATGAAGGGCTGACAGTTTTTTGCTGCAGTCACCCATTCCCTGAAGCCCTAAACCCTGTTTGGGTGGAGGGGGATTGCACCCTGAACTGCGTACCTGATCCCCATCGCCGAGAGGTATCTGCAACCTATGTGCCTCAGCCAGACACAAATGTTCAAATGCCGCAACACTCAACAGAGTAGGGTTCACCTGCGCAGCAGCCCCTTGAATCCTGGACCCTGCCTTCAGGCGGATCTTACAGGCGGTGCTGGGATTTCAGTGGTTTGATGCACCGTCCCTTTCTGTTGTTGCTTGCTTCCATGGACTCGGTGAGCAGAACTATTTGGATGTTGCTATCTGTGCTGCTAGATTGCTAAAATTCAGCAGAACCGGGGCAGCAACTACTTAGTGCAGAGGGAAGCTTGGTGCTGTGGACCCAACTTCGGGCTCAAGCCCAGAAGAAAGGTGGTGGTTTATTGTATTGCAACCATCTTCTCCACCAGACTAGCCATGGCTCTCAGGGAAGCCGACGGAAATATGCGCATCCAGAAAGGCCACTTTGTCTACTGGATGGATTCCGACAAGGAGATTCCCCGAGGAGATCTGGGCTGGGTCAGTCTGACTCGAGGCTACGATGGTGACATTGGCGTGCTTTTCCCTGCTCCTTGGGGCAGCAGGTGGAGTGAGGGAAAGGCCCAGAAAATTCGGAAAACAAAAACAGAAGTAAACACGCAAATGGCTGCAGCACACCAAGCCCTTAACCCTAAACCCTAAACCCTAAACCCTAAACCCTAAACCCTAAATCCTAAACCCTAAACCCTAAAACCCCAAACTACAATCCTGCAAAGTACGTTCCTCCCAGCTTCAGCGCCTCCAAGCAGAGGCCGAAAGCGCCGACATGGAAACCCTACGTCCAAAAGGGAGGAAGCCCCTAAACCCTAAACCCTAAACCCTAAACCCTAAACCCTAAACCCTAAACCCTAAACCCTAAACCCTAAACCCTAAACCCTAAACCCTAAACCCTAAACCCTAAACCCTAAACCCTAAACCCTACACCCCCCAAATTCTATCAGCTAAGGGCCCGGATGGGATCAGACCACATCCCTGGCAGGGCGACCTGTCACATGAGCATCTCTACAAATCCTGGTTCCAAAAAATGATGTGGCTCGGACCTGGAGTTTAGGATTTAGGGTTTAGGGTTTAGGGTTTAGGGTTTAGGGTTTAGGGTTAGGCCCTTATTTCCTTTTCTTAGGGTTGGGGTTCTCTGAGAATTTCTTTTCCTGTAAAACCAAAAAAGGGTACCCTTTTTTTGTTCCTAGGTTACTCCTGGGTCTAGGTGGGTTCATGTTGCCGACGTGCCGGGTGTGTCATTCTCGGACATCGGCTACGTGTACGATGCTCGGCTGACTTTTCCACCCTTGAGAGCTGGACGGTTGTGTTTCAACTGAACCCAAGTAGCTTCGTTCAGCCGCAGTTCAGCAGCTTTTAAGCCTTGCTTTTTGGGTGCGGGAGTTTGTGGCATAGTGGCCAAGGAATACGGCGGAGGAGATGTGCAGGTGACGATGAAAGAGGCGCTCATCCAGGCACCGCCTGAGGCCATCCACCGATGCGACTTCCAGCATCGCTCTTGGGTGCACATCCTGGATCACCCTGAGAGCGAGCTCGTGAGCTTCGTGGGCACGTACATGAAGAGCGGCAAGATTGTTGCGTAGCTCCGGCCTGCAATAGAGAGCCATGTCAAGGCTGCTTGTGCCTTTTTGCTGCTGGATTTTAAGGGTGGGGACCCCCAAACCCGAAACCCTACACCCGAAACCCTAAACCCCTACACCCTAAACCCTAAACCCTAAACCCTAAGCCCTAAACCCTAAACCCTACACCCTGAACCCTAAACTCGAGTCGCCTCTTTTGGGCAGCCGCCAGGTACAGCCCGTCGGGGAGGTGCGCGGAGTACGAGCCGTGGCAGTTAGCACTGGCGCGGGTGCAGGAGAAGTCATGGGTGCTCTCGGATCAGGGCGAGGTGAGGGGGTGATTTAGGGTTTTAGGGTTTAGGGGTTTAGGGGTTTAGGGGTTTAGGGGTTTAGGGGTTTAGGGGTTTAGGGGTTTAGGGGTTTAGGGGTTTAGGGGTTTAGGGTCTGAGGGGGCTAGGGTGAGGAGGCAGTTGAAGGGCTTCGGGTTTGAAGGTAAAGGGGTAGGTGAGGGGTGCTTTAAGTTGACGAGCAGGTCTGGTGTGACGTTGGCTTTGTGAAGCAGCGTTCATGCTCCATGCTGCTCATAGTTTATACGCGCTGTACCCTGCCGCAAGCTACTCTTTCCGTCAAAGAAACCCTTTGATTTCCCTTAAGCGCCCATGCTGCAAAAAAACCTTGACCTGCAAAGCTGAACAGGTGGGTGTTGCCAAGGATGAGGAGAAAGGGAAGATTCTCGTGCGTTTCCCAAGCAGCGGCAAAGAGGATGCGCCAAGAGAGGACCATGGGTGCATTACAGGGGCCTGAATAATTAGAATAGGGTTTCTAGAAAGGGACCCTAAGGGAATACCATGAGTTCTTATTCCGACCCCTATCGCACCCAAAGTGGCTAAAGTCATCGAAAGAGGGAGTTAGATGATACGCGTAGGTGGGCCTTTCCTTTTGGAGTTGCACTGGCTTCTTGGTTATTATTGGGTTCCTAAGCATTAGGGCTTAAGCCCTAAACCCTAAACCCTAAACCCTAAACCCTAAACCCTAAACCCTAAACCCTAAACCCTAAACCCTAAACCCTAAACCCTAAACCCTAAACCCTAAACCCTAAACCCTAAACCCTAAACCCTAAACCCTAGGGTTGCAAAGTATCCTGAACCTCTAAGTTGAGGAAACCTTCATGCCGAAAGAGCTGAAGTTGTCCCCCATCCAACCAAAGATGTTTGTCACCTGGACGGGTCATGACGAGGATGTGCCGGCGACTTGGCTGTTCTTGGGGTTTAGGGTCTAGGGTCTAGGGTCTAGGGTTTAGGGTTTAGGGTTTAGGGTTTAGGGTTTAGGGTTTAGGGTTTAGGGCTAAGGGTTTAGGGTTTAGGGTGTACTGGACCGTATGCATTGTCCCAGCTGTGGCTTTGGAGCATTCAAGGAAGGACACGTGGGAGAGGTCTATGACCTCAAAATGAAGACCGCGCGCATCAACGTCCGCTTTCCCAAAGGCCGGCGCCGCCCTCGTTGTCATGCCTTTGTAGGCCCTTGGGGCATTTTTACCATTTTCCCCTTATTGGGCTTAAGAGGCTCATATTCAGGAATATTTTCCGATTCTATTTACGGCATACAAAGATACCCCCACTTTGGGAAGTCCCCAAATAGCATTCAGGCCCTAAGGCCTGGTCAAAAATGGCAGAACTGATCTTTCTGCCACCCGCGCAGGCCTTTAAGCGCACCCCGAGCCCATGGTCCTCAGATGCCTGCTTCCTGCATTGCTGACCCGGTTTAGGGTTTAGGGTTTAGGGTTTAGGGTTTAGGGTTTAGGGTTTAGGGTTTAGGGTTTAGGGTTTAGGGTTTAGGGTTTAGGGTTTAGGCTGTCATGGCTGTGTCCGTGAGTCTTCATTGAGTTGCAGGTAGTGGCAACCATGCCACAACATGACAGTGGTTGCGCAAACTCTCCAGCTCTGGAATACCATGAAACTGGGTCTAGGGCTACTATACGTGAAATCAAGGGTCACTATAGGGTTGAAGGGTTAGTGTAAGCAGGACGATCCATGCAGCATTTTGAGTTTGAGGGCCTTCGTTTCGGTCAGAGATCAGGAGCTGTAAAGAGAACGAGCCATTGGATGTCAGAGGTGTTGAGGTAAAAAACACCGTCATGAGATTGTCGAAAAAACTCTGCGGTGACACCTGTCCTGCTGTTTCTCTTCTGCCAAACTTGCTCCGGCCGTCAGGTGATTGGGACTTCAAGGTCACGGAGCTAGTGCCTCACAGGACCTCCAAGCCATTGCAGAGACAGTCACAGCGACAGGGTACGGAGAGTCATGTTATGTCATGATGCAATGCCAGCAAGCGAACCTGTGCAGTGGCTGCAGCAATCTCGATGTCCAGACTCCATGATATTGTACGGTCGTGAAATATTTATCGTATACAGTAGTATAACGTGCTAGTATAGTGAATGGTATAGCACAGTACAATAGAATATACTGTCATGCAAGCATGTTATTTTTTGTTTTTTCATGATCACTACAAGCCAAAATCTCCGACACCTTCCTGTATGACGTTGTTCGGCACCTCCTCGCCCCAAAGTACTTTACCATGCTCGCCCAAATAAAGTGACATCAAATGACGTCGATACTGTATGAAATCTATTCCATATTAAATTATGACATGTTGAATCATTCTGTAAATAAGTTAATATGGTTGAACATAACATATGACAGTATCATATATTATGTTACGACATAATACAACTTAATATAATGGACTATGTTATCGTATGATAAATAGCTCAACATAGCCAGACATAGCATAATATGTCATCGGTTAATATATTAAAGTAATGCAGTTTAGTATAATGTAGTTTTGTAATAGAACATAATACAAAATAACATGATACGATATCATATAGAGAAATAGGGCAGTACGATAATAGTGCATGTGACATAACATAATAGAGCAGACCATAATGTGGTAGAATGAACTATGTCATGATATAGCACATCACAATCATGTGTTCTATACAACGCAGAACATATTAGATACATAGATAAGACATGTACACACATACATGGATGCACGCATACATACATACATACGTACATACATACATACGACGTATACATGTATTGTACATACTATCATGTATAGCATATATCATGTAATATGCAATGTCATATATGACATGCATACAATATGGTATACGGTTGAATGTAACATATAATTCTATCATACATCGCAATCCTTCCACTATAACCTATAATCGAATGTATAGGACGATGTACAAAGATAAGGTAACTCAAGTTAAGATATGGAATGTAAGGAATTTTCGTAAAACCCTAAACCCTAAACCCTAAACCCTAAACCCTAAACCCTAAACCCTAAACCCTAAACCCTAAACCCTAAACCCTAAACCCTAAACCCTAAACCCTAAACCCTAAACCCTAAACCCTAAACCCTAACCCATAAACCCTAAACCCTAAACCCTAAACCCTAAACCCTAAACCCTAAACCCTAAACCCTAAACCCTAAACCCTAAACCCTAAACCCTAAACCCTAAACCCTAAACCCTAAACCCTAAACCCTAAACCCTAAACCCTAACCCTGAACCCTGAACCCTGAACCCTAAACCCTAAGTATATGTATCAACGCAGGCTCCAGCCAGGGAAGTACGTTTGGTGGAAGTCCTCGGATGAGGACATCCCGAAAGGTCACATCGGAGAAGTGATCAAGTTGACACTTGGCACTGAACATGGTTTTAGTTAGGGTTTAGGGTTTAGGGTTTAGGGTTTAGGGTTTAGGGTTTAGGGTTTAGGATGTAGGGTTTAGGGCTGAATGTACTTCGAAGAATGAAGTCGAACTGGAATCGTAAGGACCTGTAGCGAGGACACACGTAAATGTGGAACAAGTAACGCAGTAGTCCTTGCAGTGCTTTTTCTTTCTAGGAAGTGCTATGCAATGCTATGCAGTGATATTCTTGGCAGTGCCATTCCGTGCCGAGCTATGCTATGCTACGCTAGGACGCTATGCCATGCCATCCTAGGCTATGCTATGCTACGCTACGCTATGCGGCCTCATGTTGCGTTGTGCGGAGCTGCGCTGTGAAGTGCGTGCGGTGCGGCCGGGTGCAGTGCTGTGTTGTGTTTACCACTGGCTTGCGTCATGCTAGTTTCTTTTCGGGTCTGTTGTGTCATGTCAAGTCATGGCTGAGTCATGGCATGTGAGGCTCTGCTATGTTATGGCCTGCTCTGCTATGTTGTGCTGTGCTATGCTGTTCCGGGATGCTATCTTATGGGATGTTGTGCTGTGTCATGGTTATGTTATGTTATATCATATTATGTTATGTTATGTTATATGGTGTCAGCATGTTTCGAGATGCGTGGCGCGTGCTTGCGTGGGTCTGTGTATGTGTGTCAGTGTCTGTGTCTCTGTCTCTGTCTGTGTCTGCGTCTGCGTCTGTGTCTGAGTCTGTGCCTGTGCCTGTGTCTGTGTTCCTGCATGAAGGCGGGCGGGCGGGCAAGCAGCACGCAGGCACACGAGCACGCACGGATGCGCGGATGCTCGGAGGGACGGACGGCCGGATGGATGGATGTGCATGCGCTCCATAAGCAGATGCGCACCATGGCTGACTGAGGAAAAAAGATCAGATCGCGGTACAGTGGCCGAAAAGCTGGTGGAGCATGAAGCCTGACCGATTGCTGCTGCTGCCGTTTCAGAGAGGCTTCGCTGGGGCTCATTGAAAAAGCGACAATGGCTGGTACGTAAGTCTTTGGCTGGTTAGGCTCGGTTGTTGGGAGAGTGCTCCTAATCTCGACCGCCAGACCTCAGGCCCGGATGGAATAGAGGCTGACGAGTCGAGTCCACGTCGAAGCCTGTGGAGTGCGAAGTCTGTAGGAGTAGGCGAGGCTCAACTAGTTCCAGGAACGGGCGCCATTCATCCAAACCCCTCGGCCTACACTGTGCAGGCGATCGAGTCACGTGGAAGCACGAGAGCGCCGATATCCCTAAGGGCACCATCGGCACGGTCATCAGCATTTGCTATCACCGGAAGGCGAAGATGTTCTTTTCTCATGCCAATGAGCAGCACTTCTGTTATCTGCAGCGTTTGCAAGGGCTCTGTGGCAGCGGGTCTGCAAGGAAGAGAGAAGACGTCTCTTCATCCTAGATCTGCAAGTCAAATAGCCCCTCACAAGGACCGAGCGCACAAAGCAGGGCTGACAGTGTACACGTGTAAGGCTCTTACTTCTGTGGTTGAGGGTCCTTGCCACTTCTGACCTACTTTTGCAGCAGAGTTCAGGGTATTTTTTTTTTTGCCCGGCGCCAGGGTGGTGATGATGGTGCGGGCACGAGCCTCTTCGTGTACTGGCCCGGCTTTGGAAGACTCGTAATGAGGCCCATGCCTCAGCTTAAATCGCGCCCCCTTAGGCCCTAAGCTCTAAACCCGTTTTAGGGGGGCGCAGGGGTAGGGGTTAAAGTTTAGGGCGACTCCCTAAACCCTCAGCCCTCATCCTTCAAAAATGACCAAGAGGCTGAGGGCTCAAGTCTTCGTGGATATGGTGTTTCGGGAGTAAGCTCCGAGACGAACGTTTGTAGGGTTGGGCTTGCACTTCCTCAGGCTCTGTTGTTGAGTGGTAGTATACTATAGTCCATTGTACTAGTTTATGTTCGTATATGATCGTATGTGATCGTATGTGATTGTATATTGTCCTATACTATCGTATAATGTCGTATATTATAGCATATCTTAGTAAGTGGTCGGTTGAAGCGGCAAGGCCCGATTCGCTGCGGAGCGCGAACTGGAACACGCAGAGCATCAACCGCCTGAAGGCGACCAAGGTTGCAGCATTTGGCAACACTTGCAGCGACTTCCTCTGCTTGCATTGTTTGGCGTGTGGGTGGAGTCGTGCGGCGTTCTCCAGAGTGAGTACACTGCATAGAAGGCCCCTTGGTCTGCAAATTCCAGAGCATGACGGGACATGCCGCGAAGGCAACCTTCGGCCGCTTCGACCGGAATGGTGACGGCAAGATCTCCGAGGAAGAGTTGGTCTCCGTTATGTCGAGTTCCCCGGCCGCAACTTTTCGACCTTTGCACGAGTGTGAGGCTTTGCTTTGTTGGGGCAAGCTGCCTCTGCTCCGCCTTTGCGATTGTCCCGACTGCTTCCGCATGGACGCGAACTCGTCGTGAGTGGCCGCGCATCAACGTGTACTCCCGGTGTTGTTTTGCCTGGGGTGCAATGCTTGTGTTTCCTCTGCGGCAACAACTATATGAGGGTTTACGAAAATGGGGGACCCCTGAAATAGACCCAAATAGTAGGATTCCCTTTATATAAGACCCAATAAGGTACACCTCATATCATAAACACCGATATCTCTACAGAAATTCATCCCGAGTTGTCTTCGACTGCCTCGTGCATGCACAGCGTTCCGCCTTTCTCGGCCATGTCACTTCGCATGCTGCTGCTGCTACTGATGATCTGATGGGGATGGCGGTGATGATGATGATGATGATGGTGATGCTGCAAATCGTGATGATGATGATGGTGATGACGATAGCGGTGACGAGACGAGGGTGACGATGAGAACGAGGGTGATCTTCATGGCCAACATCACTCCAACAAAGTGTGAGCAGAGACTTGAAACTGCTTACTTGGGGTATGCGTACCTGCTCGTTCGCACATGGCCTTGCCAACGTTTGGAAATCCAGAAACCACCGCAGAACCTGATGATGCATGTGATCTAATGCGTCCGAGGCGTGTGTTTGTCTGTCTGTAGCTGCGCGTGCCATGATTTCGGATGTTCCCCCTTATACTAACAGTCCTTAATCGCCCATGATTGGGATTATGGTACCCCCTATTACAATCCCTATTGAGGACTGTTAGTACAAGGGAGAAAGAACATCCCTAAACCCTAAACCCTAAACCTTAAACCCTAAACCCTAAACCCTAATGGGGAACTCATGACGTCTCCTTTTCCAAGGCTTGGGCGACTTGTCTGAGAGCGAGTGCCGTGAACTCTTCAAGTCCCTCGTTTCTGGGCTGCATCTCATGAACCTTAAACCCTAAACCCTAAACCCGAATCCCCTTCTGGCCGTGGTCCAAGTAGAACTGCTGACGTCAGCGCTCCATATATGTTCCACACAGCCGGCGGCATTGGGGGTTTACCAACATAGGGGTACCCTTTTTTTGTTTAGGGTTGAGGGTTTAGGGTTTAGGGTACCCTGTTTGGGGTCCTTATTCAAGGGGGGGGGGTTCAAAAGAGTACCTATATTTTCGGAAACCCCCATAAGCTCACGTTTCGACATCTCGCGTGTTGCACCGTCCGTGCCCATGAAGACGCGGGGGTCCCGAAGAAGTTTTCAGAACCCCAGACCCTGGACCCTAGACCCTAGACCCGAACCCTTAAACCCTAAACCCGAATTAACCCGTAAACCCTCCTTGACATGACGGACCAGCAGGACAAAGATGGCAATGGCAAGCTCTCTGTAGCAGAGTTCGTGGACTACGTCTTCGCGGATGAGGACCGCTACGCCGGCGAAGGGCTTGCAAAGCCCCCTGGATGTTCTTAGGGTTTAGGGTTTAGGGGTTTTGGGAGATTGCAAAGCCCCCCCTGGACTTTCCAGTGGTTTCAGGAGGTTTAGGAGTAGATGCTTTAGTGGCTTCAGGTTTTTTTTTGCTTTTTCTCGGTGGTTTCAGGGGTTTTAGGAGTTTGCAAAGTGTCCTGGGTTTTTGAGTGGTTTAGGAGTTCAATTTTGCGTGTTTGTCTTCAGGATCTGGTAGCAACTCCTTGAGTGGTAGAACTGTGGCGATGCAGCCCGAGTTCCATAGTTGTTGCACGATGGTGATGCTTTGATTTACGCTTTCAGGTATGAGAAGGGTCTTGTGGTAAGCGATTCATGCCCCGAAACGCGCGGGAGCATTCAGAGCCGTGAAGCCAGCACAGGCAACTTGGTATGGAGAAGCCACCGACGCCTGTTTCTAAGCCGAAGGATGAGGCTCCGCCGGATGAAGGCTCTGGAGGCTTCATGTCCCAAGTGGGTTCCTTCTTTGGGTTTTGAGAGCCAGATGACAGTGGCCTTGGCGTGGAAAACCCACTCCTTGCCATTTTCGATCCGCCTTCTTTTGGCAGAGGACCGGCAACCGGATCCGATCTTGCCAAAGGAAGGCCTTGATAAACCCAAAACCCTAAACCCTAAACCCTAAACCCCAAACCCTAAACCCTAAACCCCAAACCCTAAACCCTAAAGCCTAATTTCGGCCGCTCGGAAGGGACGGTCCAAAGCCTCCTCCTGGTGTCTGAATTTCAATGCCGCTGGGCATATTCTCCTTCTGCTAATTGCTTATCTACAGATCTACCTGTTTATCCTTTGATTCTCCATTTCTGTCTGCTTGCGAGAACATATGTTGCGAACACCGTATCTTATGCTAATTTTACGGGTATGCTTCTCCCCCGACGTTGTCGGCAAGTGAGTCTTGCCTGTCACCAGCTTATCCCCAGCACGGAAACGCCGTCTCGGGAATGCATTTCGGGATTGGTGCGTCGGTGCTGACCTCGTGTGGGTGCTGCTGTATGCCAAATAGCAGGCACTCTGCCGGTTTTCTGGATGGAGTACCTTACTGCTCTGGTTCCAGGATGCACTGGCTGCCCCTGAGACACAGCGCTTGGATCGTGAGGGTTGATTAGTGTTCCTGGCTTCGGGCGCGACTCCTTTCCGGCAAGCAAACTTCGAGCTGCGTGTGTCTTGCAGCCAAGAGCCAGGCTGCAGGAAGTGTCATTCATCCGAGGACTTCAGCGTAGAAACAGCAGCTCCCTAGCGGCTTGCCCTCAACCACGTAGCCATCAGCCGGCCATGTAGCAGTCAAAGTCAAAGCCGATGTCAGATACTTATGCAGCGTCGGTATAGGTGGTTGCGGCCAAGAATAAGCATGGCGTACGAAACGCTTTCGTGATGGTGGCAGCCGGCAACTGTGCTTGCAGGCCTTTGGGCACCTGGAAGGCATTTTGGATAGGACCTCAGCCGCATGACACAAGCTCTGGCTGAGGGCACTACTCGTACGGGTATTTGGGGCAGGTTGTATTGCGACCCTAACTAAACCCTAAACCCTAAACCCCAAAACCCATAGTCAGGAAAATTGCTCGTGAGAGGGTTTTAAGCATCCGAGTTGCACGGAAGGAAACCCACGAGAAGCTGTCAAGGGCATCCCAAGGTTCTGTCGGGCTTTGGGCTTTGGGTTAAGAGGAGTCACTACTTAAACCGCGGTTAGGGTTTAGAGTTTAGGGTTTAAAGGTATAAGGTTTAGGGTTTATTAGGGTATGTAAGTTTAGGGCGTTTGGGTTTTTAGCGGTTGTCGTGTTCATGGCATTCTGATGTCTGGCTTCTGAGCACAGAGTTCAACTGGCGCAGTCTGGCAGTGCAGGAGGTTGTGAGTTTGTAAACCCCCAAATCTCGAAAAGCCCGAGCCCTCGGCGTTTTGTACTCATGCTCAACAGAAATGAAGCTGTGGCAGCAGCTGCCATGCAAAGTATCGGATACGAGGAATGCATGCGCCACATCAAGCAAATCTAGCTTGGCTGCCCACACAGAACAGGGCAGAAGCTATGCGGCGCTTTATGCCCAGGTCTGCAGATGACCCGCTCCAGTCCCGCCATCGCTGGTGGGGCCCCAAGTTCGCCCCTGTTCGGGCTCCCCATGTATGGGACGATGACACTGCATCACTTTTTGAGGAAGTCTGGGCCGTAAACGCTACTATAGGCCGCGCAGCTGCAAACCCAAAGCATAACTGTCCCAAGGCACTGGTAAGATGCCCGCCACATGCCTCCCAATGAGCAGGATAGGATGAGTGGGGATTGAGGGTTTGGGGTTGAGGGTTCCTCCAAAAGTAGAAGGACGCCTACAGATTTTCGGGTTGCGTTCTTTCGCTGCTGGGCAGCTGCCAAAAAGGCAGGCTGGGTCCAATTGATTGTCGGGGCGTGTGCATCGCTGTGGGGCATAGTCAGCCGAACGATGCGAAGGTGATGCGCGGCACGCCCGCGCGCACCGTTCTGCGTCCGCTTTCCAGGAGTCCACGCCACAACCCTAAACCCTATAACCCTATAACCCTATAACCCTATAACCCTATAACCCTAAACCCTAAACCCAAGGTGTCATTTTTTTGAGACCGTTCTCAACGCCTTCCTTTGAAAGGGCGTACAGTACTTCTCGGCACAAATTCACAAATATACTTCTTGCCGTTAAGAAAAGACAAATCCTATCAACTTCGACCCCCTTCTCTGACCTTCATCAACGCACATCTGCCGCAGTGCCAAGCTTAAGCTCTATACAGCTTTGATGCTCGGGAGTCGCTGCGTGCCAAGTCGTGACAAGTCCTCAGCGAAGTTTTTATTTTTTGTTTTGTTTTTTCTCCATGCTTCGCTTTCAAATTCCAAGGGGTTCCCTTTGCTTGAGAGTCAGCCGTTCAACCTAACGCTCAGGATTTTGGAGGTGTGGGAGGTGGGCGCGGAGCTTTTGCGCGGCAAGGCGTGCGGCGTGGAGAATTGACCTTGCTTCTGAAGTTTGGAACTGCATTGTTGAAGTACTTCCTTTGCTCTGTACCACTTTGACGTATAGAAGGGTTTTGCCCAGATGTTTGCGCGAAGTTGTCAGTCTCTGGGCTTTCAGAGAGGTGCGCATGCGCGAGCCCGGCTCAGGAGACCGGAGTTTCCAGAAAAGGCCCGCCCGCTCCCCCCGCACTTAAAAGGTGCTCCTTTTCGTTCTCAAGATCGCCCTAATGCCGCATCTCTACAACCTGACCGTGGTCCCGGCCGGCTGGCCCCTGGAGACCGTCCTCGACGCCTTCGTGCACTTGACGGACTACGACCCTGCTGTTGCCGGTGCGCAGCGCGCCCGAGAGGCGCTGGCGGCGCGGCTGGTGGAGCTCTGGGCCGCGCGGCCGGCGGAGGCGGCGGCCTGGCGCGGTCTGAACGAGGACCGCTCCCAGGAGCGGCTCGCCGAGCTGCTCCTCCAGCACGCGCGGAGCGAGGTGAGCCGGTTTTTCGTCCGCTCCTTCTCGGAGGCGGGGCTGGAGCGAGAGGCTCGGAGTTGGCCGCCTCCGCCGGAGTGGTGGGAGGCTCGGTTCCGCGCTCTCTGCTGGGAGCTCGCTGGGCGGCTGGCGGCGGCCGAGGCGGAGGCCGAGGAGACGGCGCGGAAGCGGCAGAAAGTGGAGGAGAAGGGCCAGGAGGAGAAGCAGCTGCGGGAGGAGAAGAGGCAGCTGGGCGAGCGCCTGGAAGCCGCCGAGGCCGAGCTCCATTCCGCGAAGGAGGAGGTCGCCCAGCAGAAGTTGCAGAACGCGCAGCTCGGCTCCGAGCTCCAAGCCGCAAGGTGCGACTGCGAGCTGCTCACGGAGCGCCTGGCAGCGGCAGAGGCGACGTTGGCAGACAAGGCACGCGAGCTCCAGGCCGCGCAAGGCGAGGGTGCTGCGCAGAGGCAGCGGTGCGAGGAGCTTGCGCGGCGCTTGGAGGCTTCAGAGGCCGAGGCGTCAGGAAAGCAACGTGACGTCCAAAGGTTGCAGGACGAGTGCAATAAGCACAAGGAGCATTGCGAGCAGCTCGCGAATCGCTTGGCCACGGCGGAGGCCGTTTCTGGAAGCAAGGCAGACTTGCAGACGCTGCTGGAGAACGCAGCTCTCAAGGAGCGTGGTGAGCTGCTCGGGCAGCAGCTTGCAAAGGCGGAGGCCAAGTTGAGCCAGATGCAGGCACTGTGGGAAGAGCAGGGTGTGTACAAGGAGCGCTGCCGTCAGCTGGAGCGCCAGCTTGCCGAGGCGAAGCAACAGTCAAAGTACTTGGGTGATGGCTGCTCAGCTCCTGGTATCCTCGGCCACCGTGGCGCAGGCAGTGAGTCCGGTGAAGCCTCCGAGTCAAACTTGACGGATCAGATGGGCTACACCTTGGTGGATTCCGATGGCGACGCTGCCTCGTCGGTTCTGAGCTGCTCCTCCTGGTTTTCTGTGAAGCCTCACTGCTTCATGCTGAATGCCATCTTCAAGACTCGCAGCTACGGCACCGACTTCTTCCTCATGGGCCGGGACCTTAAGAAAGGCTCGCAGGTGGTGGCCGGAGATGATGCGACGATTCTGGAGGTGGCCGCCAACCCAGAGCTCTGCCGGGCCACCGAGGTCGTCGACTTGCAAGCCGGAGCTGCCAACCTGCGGGTGACCCCGGACCACCTCGTGCAGGTCCCGGATGCCACAGGTGACTCAGGGACGAACCTCTATGTCCCGGCCGGAAAGCTGGCCGCGGGCGATCTGGTGATGCTCGATTCCGGGGAGCCCATCGCCCTCACCAGCGTCGCCATTCGGCCCATGGAGTGCGAGGTGCTGAAGATCACGTTCGAGCCGCACCTGCCCGTGGCCGTCTTCTCCTCCCCTCCCTGCATCCTCAGCTTGGGGCACAAGCCGAAGCCACCGATCCGCCGCGGGTGGGAGAAGAAGCGGGGCCAAGCTGGCCCAGTTCACCGCCAGCACGTGCCGGACGAGAGCAGGGATGGTGGAGCCTCCATCCCCGCGACGGCCGGCGAGTACATGGACTAGTAGCTTCCACTGTGGAGGCTAATTCGTGCACCTCCGGTAACCGTGGCCAACCAGGTCAGCGCACGGCTGCAGAGCCGGTGCCTTACCTGCCTTTTGGCTCGCTGCCGGAAGAGCTCGCGTGCAGCGCACGCGGCCCCTGCCTTACATAACCCTGCGAGTTACATGGGAAGGAATACGAAGAAGGTGTGCAGCCTATAGATACAGTAGTTTTCAGTGCCACAGGGCAGTCATTCGAATTGTGAGGATAGTTGGTGTTTTGCGATGTTTGGCCGGGGCACGCGGTGCCGGCAGGAGAGCTGTTTTGATTCAATCCTCCTCCCTTGTGCAGAAGAGCGCAGGTGACTCTCGCGCGGCGATCCTGACTGCTGAGTGCGCTCGCGTGGAAACCGGTGTGGTCCTCTCCATTGGAACATAGACCCTATTTAGGGTGCGTATATATGTATATATATATATATATAATATACATATACCGTATATACCATTAGGTTTAGAGTGGAGGTGGAGGGTTTAGGGTTTAAGGGTTCATGGGTGTGAGGGTGATTAGGGAAGCCTCATTCTTCAGCGTTCTTAAGCCAAAGATGCCATGCATCAATCGAAGCTCCCAATCCCAACCCTGAACCCTGCAAACCCTACACCCTAAACCCTAAAACCCTAAACCCAAACCCCTAAACCCTAAACCCTAAACCTTCCTTGACTGAGAGGCCGCTTGGCTTCGCGAGGAGCTTGGAGGAGGTCCTTCAGATGCTGATTCAGGCGAAAGGGTCGTTTAGGATTTAGGAGTTGAGGGGTTTAGGGTTTAGGGTTTGGAGTTTAGGGAAAGTTTAGGGCTTAGGGTTTAGGGTTTGGGGTTTAGGGTGTAGGGGGAGGTCGTTTAGGATCTAGGAGTTTAGGCTTTGTCAGGGTGGCAGGGCTTCTTCTGGCCTTTCGGCCAGCCCCTATGCTTAGTGTGAGCTGGTTTCGTGTACTGTAGTGCTTTGGCGTCTGATTTTTTTGGGGTCTTCAGGTTCATGAAACCTTGGCGACGCCACCCTGCAAACCTTAAACTCCGCAGCCGTGCCCAACTCATCCGCTCATCCCTGTCTGCATGCGAGGCTTCAAGAGAGTCCCCTAAACCCTTAACCATAAACCCTTAACCCTAAACCCCAAGAGGCACCAGGGGATGCCGCCCTCCCCGGCGCAGCCTGAAATCCTAAACTTATGGGGTTCTTAAGGGAGGGGAGTTCAAGGGGGGTACGAAACCCAAGGTTCCTGAATACCCCCTGCTACTCCCTAAGGCTCCCTAAGCTTCTCTAAGGTCCCCTAGGTACCTACCCCCCATAAATCCCCTCCCTTAAGAACCCGACAATAAACCCGACGCCCCGGTAGCCGAAGAAGTGTGACAGCCTGTTTAGACCCCTTTACACCTGATAAAAACCCTTATGAACCCGCATAAACCGTATAAGCCCCTATAAACCCTTATGAACCTTATAAAGTCTATAAATACCCAAACCACTAACTCCACCTTTTACCCAGGGCTGTATTCAAAAACCCAGCGCCGGCGCGCTCAAGCCCCCAAGTCCTGAGAATCTCTCAGCCCTCACGTTGATATGTAGCTATCTGACCTCATTCAGGGTATGAATACCCTACGACTTCTAACCATCCATGAAGCTCCAGACAGCTTACCCAAGAATCCCTAAACCCTAGGCCCGAAACCCTAAACCCAAGCATCCTTGAAGAGGGGCGGGGGGGGGGGGGGGGCTGCGAAGAGTACCCAAAGCACAGAAAGTTGGGGGTCGATGGGTCGAGATCCTCACCCCCTCCCTAAATGGCAGAGTCGACCTTACGAACCAGAAAACCTGCTTGATTGCACACGCACTTTCTAGAAATCTTCGGGGAACCAATACTATTTACAAGAAATCTGAATGGATGTGCCGATCAGCCCCACGAAAAGCGCGCTTACCTGAGCTGTGAGGAGCTGCGGGCTGGCGCGGGAGCTCCCACTCGGCCATCAGATCATTGACAAGGCTGGGGTGGTGGTGGGTCTTTGCTTGAGGTATGCGGCTGCGTGATTGGGCTGTTGCGACATGTGGAAACGGGTGCGCATGTGGGGGTTCCGCCGTTCCGCCTGCGGGTTGCACGACCCCAATGAACCCCAGCCCCTTGGCTCAGAGGCGACTCCTCCCCGCCTACAAGGCGTGCTTCCCTCAAGCCGGACGCCATGCCGCCGCCCCCGGGCTGCACCTACCTCTACGAGCTGACCGCGGTCCCAAACGTTTGGCCGTTGGAGACGGTGGTCGACGCCTTCCTCCACCTGGCCTGCTACGACCCTGCCTATCGTCCCGGTGCGGAGCCCGGCCTCCTGGCGCTCAGGGCCCGGCTCCTGGATCTCTGGGTTTTGCGGCCGGTGGAGGCCACGGCCTGGCTGGCTCAGCAGCAGGAGCTTTACGAGAGGCACCTGGGAGGGAAGGAAACCAAAGAGGCACGGCTGGCCGAGCTGCTCTTCCAGCATGGGCGAAGTGAACGGAGCCGGTGCTATGTGAACTCCTTCTCGGACGCGGGGCTGGTTCGAGTGGCTGGGAGTTGGGTGTTTTCCCCGCAGTGGGAGGCCATCCTCCGTCCTCGCTGCTCGGAGCTCGCTGGGCAGCTGCCAGCAGCCGATGCCCAGGCCCAAGCCGATGAGACGGCCCCGAAGAGGCACAGGCTGGAAGAGAGGAGAGAGGAGCAGCAGCTTGCCGAGCGCCTGGAGGCAGTGGAATCCGAGCTCCAGGCGGCGAAGGAGGAGGTCGCCCAGCACAAGACGCAGAACGAGCAGCTCAGCGCCGGCTTGGAGGACGCCCAAGCTGCAGCTGCAGAGAAGCAGCGGGAGCTCCAAGCCGCGAAGCATGAGTGCGAGCTGCTCACGGAGCGCCTCCAGGCCATGCAAGACGAGGGTGCTGCACAGAAGGAGCAGCGCGAGCAGCTTGCACGTCGCTTGGCAGCAGCCGAGGCCGAGGCAGCAGGCAAGCGGAGTGATGTGCAAAGGCTTCAGGACGAGTGTGACAAGCACAAGGAGTGCTGCGCGCAACTCACGAATCGCTTGGCTGTGGTGGAGACTTCGACCGACAAGGCCGATGTGCAGACCCTGCTGGAGAACGCAGTTCTGAAGGATCGCTGCGAGCTGCTTGGGCAGCAGGTGTCGAAGGCTGAGGCCAAGTTGGAGGAGAAGTTGGGCCAGATGCAGGAGGAGAAGGGGGTGTACAAGGAGCGCTGCCGTCAGCTGGAGCGCCAGCTTGCCGAGGCCAAAGAGGAGGCCAAGTGCTTGAAAGCCCAGCTCCTTTCCACTACCCCAGCTTCGCGTGAAGAGGCCTCCGGCCCCGGGTCGAAGCTCGCAGAGCAGTCGGGAGTCGCCAAGGCGGGGGGCCTCGTCACAGGCCAAGCCGTGGAGGTGAGCTTGGAGTCCTTGGCTGCGGCGCTGCAGGTCATGCCGGGCCATGCTGCGCAGGTCGACGCGCTGGGCGAGCTGGCAAAGCTTCTCCACCAGGCGGCTGGGAAACTGGCGGTTGGGGACTTGGTGGTCCTCGATTCCGGGGATCCCGAGGCCCTCTCCAGCATCCACACCGAGCCCAGCGAGGGCGAGGAGCTGCAGGTCGTCTTCGAGCCGGACCTTCCCCACAGGAGCTTGCTAGTTTGCTGAGGGGCGGGCATGTGTCTGAAGGGGCACGGGGGGAGATGACAGATGAAGACACATGGAGGAGCTTCCATCCCAGATAGGCTGGGAAGTATCGACTGAGTTTATAATTTGGCAACCTAGAGGCTTGCTTGTCATAGCCGTTTATCCGCATGCTTAGATTCTCGAAGTCCGAAGAATTCACCTTTCTCGGGCAGCTTTAACCAAGGAGCCCACGCATGGCCATCCCATAAGTGCCTCACGCAAGCTGCTTGGACCTTTTACTCGCCATTTCACGGCCTAGACGAATTGCTTAGAGTGTAGATTTGACTTTCCAAAGTTCGTGCCGCGCTCCGCAAGCGCACCACAGCTGTTCTGCAGCGCAGCGCACGCAGTCCCTGCGGCCAGAACGTGACGTAGCAACAGCCAGCTTGCTATAGTACAGAGTCTTTTACAGCTCCATCTTCACATTATACCCAGAGACTCCAATATCCCTTTAAATTATAATTGGATCCCTAATATGATTGAAGGTATATTCCTTAAATTAAGGGATAGTGGAGTCTTTGGGTATCTGCCGTGGGCTCGCAGTGCCTGTGCGACAGTAGTTTCCAGCTTCGAAGGGCTCGGCACACCAGTTTTGCCATTCCCCCCTCGCGCAGAAGGCCGCCGGGGAACCAGTTTCATGGAAGGGGCCTGCCTGGTTGGGAAGAGAATGCTAGAGCTGGAGCTGTACAGGGTTTAGGGTTTATCTTCTTTAGGGTTGTGAGGGCTTAGAGTTTAGGGTTTAGGGTTAGGGTTTAGGGTTTATAGGGTATAGGGTTTATAGGCTTTAGGGAGATGGAGGCCCTTTCAGATCCTCGCCGAAATTGCCCCCTATCCGGGGCTTTAGGCTCGGCAGGGAAAAAGGGAGACTCAAGTGCTTCAAGTGCGTCGGGTGCGGCAGGCACGGCACACGCGTCACGTCTGTCACGTCCGTCACCGGCCGTCACGTGAGTCACATCTGCCTCAGCAAGCTCGGGCACGTTGGCAGACTCCAACATGTCTCAACAGGACGTTTCATGACCATATGAAGCAGGGTTTATATTTCTGTTATTGGTGAGTGCATATAAGGCTCCTTCTTAATATTGGTGAGTGTATATACTGGGTGTCCTTTTGGGGATACAAGAAATATATACCCTACTTCATATGACATCGTCTCTTGCTCCAGCGTTGCAGGAGGCCGGAGCTGAATCAGGCTCGCAAGGGCCGGTTTATGAGGTTTAGGAGGTTTATGGGGCTTATGGGGCTTACGGGGTTTACGGGGTTTATGGGTTTGTAGGGCTTATGGGGTTATGGGGTGCACGGGGGCGTTTGGAGGGTTTACGGGGTTTACAGGGTTGAAGGCTGCGGCCAAGTTGAGCCCCTAGAGTTCGTAAAGTGTGCATCTAGACCCTACAGATTCCCCAGAGACTCCAATATCCCTTAATTAAGGGATATACCTTAAATCATAATTGGATCCCTCATATGATTGAAGGTGTATTCCTGAATTAAGGGATATTGGAGTCTTTGGGTCCCTACAAAATGGACTAGAAAAGTATCGGGCCCCTGTTGCGAGAGCAAAAATCCCTCGCTAGGGGCATGTCGGGACCCACACAAAACTTTTTAGGCCGTCAGAAGCAGAAACCTGCGGGGAGTCCAGAAAAGGGGCTCCTGGTGGATCTACTTGGTGGTTCATATGTGGTAGTGACAAGAACGGTTGCAAGCGTGGCAACCTCAAGTTGTAGCCAGATCTGGTGTGGCCGAGAACCCAAACTTGGGAGGGTTACCCCTAAACCCTAAACTCTAAACCCTAAACCCTAAATCCTAAACCCTAAACCCTAAAGCCTAAACCCTAAACCCTAAACCCTAAACCCTAAACCCTAAACCCTAAACCCTAAACCCTAAACCCTAAACCCCTAAACCCTAAACCCTAAACCCTAAACCCCTAAACCCTAAACCCCTAAACCCTAAACCCTAAACCCCCCCTGAACCCTTTTGCACCCTTGGAGCTGCATGGCAGATTTCCCATTGGCATCTCGCAGAGAGGCCGCCGTCACTGACAAAACCGGCGCCGCCCTCAGGGTTTAGGGTTTAGGGTTTAGGGTTTAGGGTTGAGGGTTGAGGGTTTAGGGTTTAAGCTCCGTAGGAGATTTGAGTATTTCCAGGTACATACGCGGCGCCCCGATGGTAGACAAGAATTGTTTCTTTTCAAGATAGAGCCCTCAGCATCTCCAGTTGTTGCGCTCTTCTTCCGGCTGAAGATATCTGAGGGTGTTGCTGACCTTTGAGATGTGGGCTTGCAGTTTGAGTTGGCTTAGGGATAACGGGGGAGGCTACGCTCGGCCTGTTGCAGACTTGTGGGGTTTAAGGTTTAGGGGTTGAGGTCCTGGGGGCGAAAGCAGGGAGCCTCAGTCGGCTTGCCCCTGTTGCAGTCCAAAGTGCATCGTTGCAAGTTGCTTCTCCCTGCCATCAAGGGTATCGCGTAGACTGAACCTGCAAAACTGAAAGCGAAGCGTCCCGTACTTCTGGGAGTGAAGGACAACGTCCGTTGATGTTGGTGAATTTTTGCGGCGTCAGCCGCGGCGATCGCATGTTCACTTTCTAATGAGTTAAGCGGTACGGCTAGAAGTTCCCTCAAACATCTTAAGTGCGCGCACAGGAACATGTACAACAGCCTCGCATGCTCGCTTTGAGCTAGCTTTGGGCTGCTGCCGCCATGGGCACGACCCTCGGCCTCGGCAGGCACCGTGTGAGCGCCTCGACCTTGGAGAAGTCTGAGATCGATCTCATTGTGGCCAGCAAGAACCTAGGACCGGGAGTAGACCCTTTTTTCCTTTTTTTTGGGGTTGGGGTTCCCTGATAATCCCCTTAAAACAAAAAGGGTGTCTTTTTTATTCCTAGGTTACTCCCGGGTCTAGGAACTTGATCAAATTCCTCAAGGGTGTGTACGCGTTTCCATGTTTGTTCGGCAACAAGCGAGTTCTTGCCGAAGCGATCCGACGCTACGAGCAGAATTGGATTCCGCTGTTGCTGGAAAACCCAGAGGAGAGAGGCCTGGTGCCCCCACTTGATGTGGAGTGGGTGTGGTATTGCCACATGCTGAACCCCACGGCCTACAATGAGGACATGTCCCGCATCGCAGGGCGGGACGAGGTCCCAGACCATGTCATGCAGGCCTTGGATTCCAGCGAGTGGATGGAAGGCCGCAAAAGGGCGCAGCAGCTGTGGGCCAAGAAATTTTCGGAGCCGTTCAGTCTGGAGCTCCAGTTGGCACAAGCGCCTCAGGTAGATGAGAGTAGGGCTGGGAGCCAAAGGAGCAGCTATGACTTCGTTTCTGCAGCTGCACGTCAGATAGATTTCTACTACCAAGTGGCTGTGCTACCCCATTACCAAGATCAGTACTTCCTGGAGCTGGCAGTCGAGAGGTACCTGGACAAGTTCTTGGAATTAGCAAGGAGGCACCCTGAAGGCACCTGGGTACCAAGCAGCGACATCGAATGTGTCTGGCGGGCGCATCTTCTCCATCCACTAGCCTACGCCGAGGAGACGACAGAGCTCCTAATTCCCGCTTGGGAATTTATTGTTTCTTTTTGTTCATATAAAACCCAGGAGGATATTAAAAACAGTAGTTTTATTAAGGTTCTAAGGGGAGTATAGGCTCTGCGGCCAGCTCCTGCCCCACGACGACAGCCTTCCGGAGCCCCAGCAGTCAGCCCGCCGAGCTGCCACGGAAGGAGTCTGGAAGGAGGAGTTTGGGGAGGAGCTCTACCGCAGCGGGGGCATGAGCCGTGGGCGGCTGATGCTTGCGGAGTGGAGATGCAAGGATCAGTTGAGGTCCGCGCTGAGGTCCACTGCGGACATGAGTGGGCTGTTCCTCCGTCAGGTCTGCACTGAGAAGAGGGCCTCCATGCGTGTAGAGCATGCCAGCATGTATCGGAACAGGCCGAAGCTGCCATGGGTTTATCAGAAGGACATGAGCACAAAGGCCGATGGCTGCAGGCGCTTCTCCTGCTTGGGCAACTGCCCTCTGTGGAGCGGCATCATTCAAGGGCAGGTGGTGCATGGCAGGTCTGGATCCAAGAGCTTCAGCTACGTGGAGGTCATGAAGGACCCACAGCAATCGATGCCTGTCGTTACTGCACACACCATTGACTCCGACGAGTTGCCTTCCTCGGAGCAGGTCGACAACGCAAGAGAGTGTCTCACCTTGGACCCAAGTAAGGAGATGGCCTACTTGCTTCGGGTCGCTGCAGAGGACGTGGCTGTAATCGTGGGGGAATGGGTCGATTTCATTGAGAAGGACAAGTGGACGCCGGGGACAAGCGCCGGCCATGGTACCAGAATGAGGAGGCAGCACAAGCGACCAGGGCGCCTTGATGTGAAGATCTATTCTTTGCGGGGGCGCCTCACGCAGTGCCAGGTGAGCGAAAGATTCTTCGGAGACACAAGACCTAGGGCGTACTCCTTCCCCTTAGCAGCCTTGATGCTTGACGAATGCACGGATACTGTGGACATTGATCTTTGCAATTCCGCGATCAGCGGGTTTAGCAACCCTACTTCCGCAGCAGTCAGCTTTGGCTTCGCTCTTGCCATTGGAGCTTTGCATGCCAGCTTGCAGCCAATTGTCGATGGCGGCTACCCAAATTGGACTGTGCAGCAATTCTCTTGTGATTCACTGAAGCTGGCGGGTGGAGAGATTCCTGCCAGCTGGGCCATCAACATCTGCGCGCCCCTGAATCCGCGCCCGGCCATTGACGCATACCAGACCTCGGGCGAGCTGATGATGCCGCAGCAGTGGCCCACCCTGGAAGAGGACGACCTGATGTGCAAAGGCGCCGGTGTCATCCACAGATTCGCAGGGTCAGATGATGACACTTCTGACTCAGAGTCTAACTCGGAGTCTGACTCGCAGGGGTGAATAGGAGCACCGACACTCGAGGACACTCAGGCGATGTCCCAAGAGCTCTCGTTGAATGTACAAGCCCGCATCCTGATAAATCTCCCTAAAGGCCCCTAAACTCCTCACAGCAAGTCCCAGAAAGTTGGAACATCATTATCCTCATGTCCCAAAAAGGTTCCTAAACAGGGAATCCTAGCACTAATCGTCCTTAAACCATGCTCCAACTTTCTGGAGCTTTTTTTTTAAACCCTAAACCCTAAACCCTAAACCCTAAACCCTAAACCCTAAACCCTAAACCCTAAACCCTAAACCCTAAACCCTAAACCCTAAACCCTAAACCCTAAACCCTAAACCCTAAACCCTAAACCCTAAACCCTAAACCCTAAACCCTAAACCCTAAACCCTAAACCCTAAACCCTAAACCCTAAACCCTAAACCCTAAACCCTAAACCTTACTGTGAACCCAGAGTCGGCAAAGGTGGCTCCTCTTTCGAGTTGGCCGCCGGTGGCTTCGATGAGGCCATGGGCCGGCTGCCCTTTTTTCCAGTCCTTGGTAGGGAAATGTGGGGAACTAAGGAATGAGGGTCGTAAGGGTTTAGGGTTTAGGGTTTAGGGTTTAGGGTTTAGGGTTTAGGGTTTAGGGTTTAGGGTTTAGGGTTGGAGGTTTAGGGTTGGGGGGTTACGTAGGGGGGCATGGGGTACTTGACTCCCATATTGCCGACAGGGAACTTGTTTTGGGCTTTCGTGTTCTGGGATCTTCTGGGGCTGGGTGCATGGGGAGCCTACGTTCGCTTAGTTGGCGTGAGCAGTTTGTGGAGTAATGCGGTTCTGTTGTTGGTTTGGCCATGGGAAGCGCGGAGTCGAAAATTCAGCCATAAGATTTTGTGAAGCTGCGCCTCGACTCTAGCAAGGTGCCCTAAGTCACGACCCCGCCCCCCAACCAAGCAAGCAACCAAGCAACCGAAGCGAGGCACCCTGGAGGCCCACGGCCCACAAGCTCCAAGCCCCAATTATGAACCCTATAAGCCCCATGAGCTAAAAAGCTACAAACCCTAAAGGCCCCCAACCCACAAAACTCCTAAACCCCCCAAACCCCCCCAAACCCCGATGAACCCCCCCCCCCCACATCGGAAGCCGGAGGTCGGCGAAGGGACGCCAGCGGGGTCGTGGACTTGGCTCTAACTTCCAGGGATTTATGGGGTTGATGGGGTTTTATCAACCCCATGAACCCTACAAACCTCATAAACCTGCTATACCCCATAAACCCTGAAAGCCCATAAACCCATAAGCCCTATAAATCCCATAAACGCCATCAAACCCCAGAAACCCGATAAACTCCATAAACCTCATAAACCCCATAAGCCCCATAAAACCCCATAAAACCCCATAAAACCCCACAAGACCCCATAAAACCCCATAAAACCCCATAAGACCCCCATGGCTTACAGGGCTTATGGGGTGTGTTTGTAGGATTTGTATAGAGGGCCAACTTCAGCCCCTAGACCTGAGATCCTCGTATACTGGGCATATCGGCCCTACACGCTGCTACAGAATCCCTATGTAAGGGGAAGAAAAGGTCGGGCATACGGGGGTCACAAACCTTCTTCAGGGCTCATGTGGGTGCTGCAGTTTTTATAGCTATAACCCGAGTCTGAAGCAGGTTAGAGTTAGGCTGTGTAGGTATAAGGCTATGAGTAATGATTGTGAAGGTTGTCATGGAAGTGTTAGGTTACAACAAAGTTGGCTCCGGCTTCCGTCTTGAAGGGCCGCAAAGCGTGGGCGCCTCCTCCCGTGATTGATGCTAAGCTCTAGGATAGACGTAGGGTCATAAGAAGTGCATTCAAGAATTGTCATATGGTCACGTCTCTAAATGAAGGTCCCTTTTTGGGGTCCCTTACAAAAGGCGGCCCCTCTTATTTAGTGTACCCAGAAAGGGACCAGAATTAGAGTATCAAGAGAACTGACCATATGTACAATTCACCATGCTTCTAGCGCAATGCTTACAAGGACCAAAGAACCTCCGAATGCTGGGGAGAGTGGAGGTCGTCTGGGGGGGCCCCTTAGCCCTTTTCAAGCCTTTAAAGAGCCTGAAAGGATGTGCCCTGCTTCTAGAAAAAAATATTCTTCCCGCAGTTAACAAGCGCAAGGGGCGGAGATGTCTGACTGGTGTCGGCAGCTTTGCACACCCGAACCCTCAACAGAACCCCCTTCCCATCTCCGACCTTCAAAAGACGAGCTCGGTAGCGCTCGTAACCGAAGCAGCCCAGGATCTTGGAGGTGTGGGAGATGGGCGCGTGGTCGCTGAATTGCCAAGGCGTGCGGCGTTGCAGCATGACCTTGTTTTTTTTTTGTGGTTCTGGTACTTGCATTGTTGAAATCCCTCCTTTGCTCTGTGCCGCTGTGACCTAAGTCAGTCTGCCCCTCCACTGAAAACGTGCTCCTTTTCGTTCTCATAAGATCGCCATATGCCGATTCTCTCTGAGCTCACCGCGGTCCCGGCCGGCTGGCCCCTGGAGACCGTCCTCGACGCCTTCGTGCACTTGACGGACTACGACCCTGCTGTTGCCGGTGCGCAGCGCGCCCGAGAGGCGCTGGCGGCGCGGCTGGTGGAGCTCTGGGCCGCGCGGCCGGCGGAGGCGGCGGCCTGGCGCGGTCTGAACGAGGACCGCTCCCAGGAGCGGCTCGCCGAGCTGCTCCTCCAGCACTGGCGGAGCGAGCTGAGCCGCTGGAGGGTCACCTCCTTCTCGGAGGCGGGGCTGCAGCGAGAGACTCGGAGTCGGACGCTTTCGCCGGAGTGGGAGGCTCAAGTCCGCCCTCGTTGCTGGGAGCTCGCTGGGCGGCTGGCAGCGGCCGAGGCGGAGGCAGAGGAGACGGCGCGGAAGCGGCAGAAACTGGAGGCGAAGGGCCAGGAGGCGCAGCTGCAGGAGGAGCGGAGCGCCGAGGCCGAGCTCCAGGCGGCGAAGGAGGAGCTCGCCCAGACCAAGTTGGCGAACGAGCATCTCGGCGCCAGCTTGGAGGCGGCGCAAGCGGCAAGTGCAGAGATGCAGCGGGAGCTTCAAACCGCGAAGTGCGAGTGTGAGCTGCTCACGGAGCGCTTGGCGGCGGCAGAAGACGCGGTGGTGGACAAGGCGCGTGAGCTTCAAGCTGCGCAAGATGAGGGTGCCGCACAGAAGGAGCAGCGCGAGCAGCTTGCACGGCGCTTAGAGGCATCACAGGCCGAGGCGACAGGAAAGCAACGTGACATCGAATGTTTGCAGGCAGAATGTAAGCAGCAGAAGGAGCACTGCGAGCAGCTTGCAAGCCGCCTGGTTGTGGCGGAGGCTGCTTCCGGAAATGGCACCGACTTGCAGACCATGCTGGAGCACGCAGCTCTCAAGAAGGTTGGCGATTTGCTCGAGCAGAAGCTGGCCAAAGCAGAGGAGAAGCTGGGGCAGATGCAGGAGGAGAAGGGCATGTACAAGGAGCGCTGCCGCCAGCTGGCGTGCCAGCTTGCCGAGGCGAAGGAGGAGGCAAAGCGCTTGAGAGGCGGGCGCTCGGTTCAGGCCAGCCTCGCAAGCCACGGCCCGGATGGCCCCAAAGAGGCCTCCAGCCAGGGGCCCAACCTCGCGGACCAGCTGGGGTACACGGTGGTGGAGGACGACGTGGCCTCCTCCGTGCTGAGCCGCTCCTCCGGCTCGGACTGCTTCATGGTGGAAGCCGTCTTCAAGAACCGCAGCTCCGTGGTTGCGGGCAGGGACCTCCAGAAGGGCTCGCAGGTGGTGGCCGCGGACGGCGAGAGCATCATGGACGTCGTCGAGATCTCGAAGGAGCACCGCAAGACCGAGCTCGTCAGCCTGGAGGCGGGGGATGCCTCGCTGCAGGTGACCCACGACCACCTCGTTCAGGTCCCCGACGCAAACGGCGAGCTGGGAAAGATGCTCTACCAGAAGGCCGGTGCGCTGAAGGTGGGTGACCTGGTGGTGCTCGATTCCGGGGAGCCGGTGGCCCTCACCAACGTCCACGCGGAGCCCGCGGAGTGCGAGGTGCTGAGGGTCGTCTTCGACCCGGACCTGCCCGTGGCCGCCTTCGCCTGCCCGCCTTGCATCCTCACTAAGGGCCACAAGAGCAGGCCGCCTGTTCGCCGGGGGGGCGTGTTCCAGGGGCCAGGCGGCGGCATCGGCGGCAGCATTCCAGGCGGCGGACGGAGGAGCCCCCAAGTCGATACGGCAGCCGGAGTGTACACGGACTGAGCCGACCGGTCACACAGAACAGCTAGCGCCGGCGAGCTCGGAGCCCGAGCATGTGCAGATTCCTTGAGCTCTGGGCGGCGCGCTGTCAGTTTTCCAAGCAGCTGAGTGCACGGCCGCCATGCGAGACAGTGCCTCACGCTGCTTGGACGACGCCGCTGTCCCGAGTGATTTTGGGGCGCAGCGCACGCAGGCCAAGGTGACATATAGGCTGCCATATGTCCAAGTGTCCGCAGCTGTTCATCGTCGAAGCATAAAAAGACACAATAGGTGCTCATGTGAGGTTGACGCCGCCGATTGTAGAAACCAAAGGCAGCGGTATGTAACCGGTAGGCTCGCAGTGCCGGCGCCACGTGCACTTTTTCAATATCTTCCCACGGGCTCGGCTCGCAAGTTTTGGCTTTCCACCCCTGGGCGCAGAAGGCCATCATGGAGGGGGGCAGACAGCTTCCAAGAGAAGGGGCGGCGGCGCCGATTGGGGGAGGTAGCTATGTTGCGTAGCTTATGTAGTCCTGGACAAACCCAATCATAGCATGGCCTCTTTCAGCAATTGCTTGAGTGAGTGTCCGCCCCTTCCGACACGAGACCTGCTGCTTCTGACGAGAAGGCTTTGTCAGTATCGAGTCGCATGAAGCCTCAGAAGCCTCTGCGCCCACAGAGCTTCCAAGTTCTCTCGAAAGAGTGAAGAAGGTAAACCTCTCATAAGTCAAGTCAGAGCCCGATGGCTCGTCCCGCGTCCCCAATTGAGAGCTCCGCCTGAGAGAAGGAACTTCAAGGAACCCCGGTCATTCCCTGCATGGCACATCCTTCCCACAAACTCGGCAGAACTGCCAATAAGGCCCCCTGGTTGTTTTGGGCCCACGCTCTCGTTTGGATTTCTGTTATTTGGAGCCCCGCATTCGTTTACGTGCAGGTCCCGCTGTCGCCTCCGGGGCGCTGGAAGCTGCGGGGGGTGGGGGCCTCTGAGATCTCCATTTTCGGGCGAGTTTTTTGAGGGAGAGAGCATATCCTGTAGAAGAATAAGTCTGCACTGCCACTCAGCATGCTTCTTCTGCTGCGCCAACCCGCGGCTCGAGGTTTTGGGAGCTTGATAGGGTTGTATATGCAAGACAGGCTGCCCTGGGATGAAGCTGAGATGTCTTGGAGTTCCAAGAAGCCAAACAAAAACCTCCCGCACAGCTTTTTTTTTTGGGGGGGGCGTCTTCTTCGGCATAAGTGCTGCATGAAACCTTCCAGGTGTTCGGGGCTCTTCTTTTTGGGGGGTTCCAGGCCTCGCCCCCCCCACCCCATCTTCCCTACACCCTCAAAGCCTTAAGCCCTGAACATGCGGCAAGACGAAGCCTGCAGATTCTGTAAGGCCCCTTGCTGGAATTCTTAGCGGACCTGGGAAAACAGCAGGTTTTCAGTAGCGTCGTAAAACCTACTTGTATGCTGTAGGTTACTGCAGTTACCTGAGGCCTAAGGTCACCTAAGATTCTTAAGGGAAGGCCCAAGACTCCAGAGGGGAGAGGGGGCGGGGGGGAGGGAGGGTCCTGCAGGGCTCATTCTAGGGATCTGGGATCTCATTACCTTAAGAACCCCCAAAACCTGGTTATCTTGTCTGTAGGGTCTGATTGTGAAAAGAGGAAAGCAGTTGGAAAACCCATGATTCCTTCACTCACTGCTAAGAGCTCAGAACAACCAACCTTTCCGAAGCGAGGTCACATGAAGGCCCACGGAACCAAACCAACCAAAACCGAAGCTGTCAGTCAACCCTGTGAGCTCCATTCCCTAAAAAAGCTGCAGACCCTCTAAACCTCACACCCTAAACCCCAAACCAAATCCCCAAACCCCAAAAAGCTTCAAACCCCCCAGAAGCCCCCCCAAAACCCCATGAACGCCCCATGCATCGGAAGCCGGAGGTCGACGTAGGGAGAGAAGCCCAAGTGCCCACCTTGAGAGGCCTGTTCGGGTGGTTGAGGGTTTAGGGTTTAGGGTTCCGCTCGAGAATTCCAGCGATTTATGGGGGTTTATGGGGTTGGGGTGTGGGGTTTGTGGGGTTTGTGGGGTTTGCGGGTTTTTTGGGGTTTATGGGTTTTTTGGGGTTTAATGGGGTTTAAGGGGTTGTATGGGGTTTAAGGGTTTTATGGAGTGCCATGGGCGTTTGTCGGGGTTTGGGGGTTTACAGGGTTAAAGGGCTTATGGAGTTTATAGAAGGCGGCCAGAATTGAGCTCCTGGAGTTCGTATATGGGGCATCTAGGCCCGATACGCTGCTACAGAATCCCTACAGAGGGGAATAGAAGAATATCGGGCCCCGATTGCGAGAGTAGAGTCCCTATATAAGCGCACAGGGACACATAAACCTTTTCTAGGCAGTGAGAAACAGAAACCCGGGAGTCCCGGAAAGGGGATTCCTGGTGATCGGTGGATCTACTTGGAGGCTCATGTACTGACAAGAACGGTTACAAGTATGGCAACCCTTTTGTTGTGCCTAGAACCCAAACTTCTACGTATCCATGAAGCTCCAGGTAGAAGACCCCCCCCCCCTCCCCCCGGCAAAACGGGGCTCAGCCCTTGCTATGGGGTTTCCGGTTTCGGGTGCAGGGAGTTTTTCGGGGGCCTCTGGAGCTGCCATCTTCCGGGGGTTGTTCTGCCTTTCTGGTCTTTTTTTTGGGATCTGGGGCTCAGGGCTTCCGTGTTATAATTCTCAGGAGGCCCCCCCAACAAAAAGGGACCGGTCAGACTTGACTTCAGCTACCGGTAACGGGGTGTCGCTGTAGGAGACCAAGGGATGGTTGGTAGGATCGCTGCAGAACTTGAAGCGGTAGCTAGGGTTTAGGTTTGGGATTTTTTTTAAATATGGTTTAGGATTTAGGGGGGGGTTTAGGGTCTTATAAGGTTTAGGGATGAGGGGTTTGTAGGGTTTTGGGTCATGATCACGAAGCTCCTTATCGAAGTCTTAGGTTGCAAAGAAGGTGGGTGTTTGGGGTTCTTGAGGTAGGTCCGAAGCCTCTCTGACAGGACTCAAGCAGTGCAGCTAGCGGCCGTTGCATCAGTGATTCCCCGTCGCGCTTGGATGTGCTAGGATACGCTGGGCATATGCGGACTCAAGCAAGTCGGGAAGCTTCCTCCCGTCTCGGAGATTCAATTAGAGACGCTCTATGTGGAGGTGCATGGTTAGCTGTAAGTGGGGTCATAATAAAGTGAATGTTGTAAGGACCAATGAACCGCCAGACGCCGTGGAGAGTTCGTATGCAGGGACCTTTAGAGAACTCGAAAGGACGCATGCTGCTTCTATATATACATCTAAATACCTTGTGGACGAAATCAACCCTAAAGGGGTTTATGGTTCGTATGTCATATACCTTCGGGAATATGACCCAAATTTTTATTGGGGTTCACTTGGTCTTCAAGGTATTCATCCTGCAATTGACAAGCGCAACGGGCGGAGTTTTGACTGGCATTTGCAGCATTGCACATCCGAACCCTCAGGTTAAGAACCCCGCCCCCGTCTCTGACCTTCAAAAAAAGCATCCGTGAAATGCGCAGCAGGTGCCAAGTTGCCAAGTTGGCGAGTCCAAGGCGCAGTTGGCGGTGTGTTGGTTTTTGCTTGAGAGGGTTCCGGTCTGGGGCGTCATGAGGGTGCTCAATTCTGTTTTTTTTTCTGGCGCGGAATCTGAGGAGACCACAAGAGCGGTTTCAGCTGCAATGTTTGCGCCCTCTGATGCAACCAAGATGGGCACCTGCCAATACAGTTAACCTTTTCTGCATCCTCGGCAGCTTGAACAATCGTGCAACCTAGCAAGCTCAGAAAGCGCTCATACCGAAAGCAGCTCAGGGCCTTGGAGGCGTCCGCGATGGGCGCGGAGCCTTTGCGCGGTAAGGCGCGTGGCGTTTTGCAGCGTGGCCTTGCTTCTGAAGTTCGGAGCTGCGTTGTTGAAATCCCTCCTTTGCTCTGTGCTTCTTTGACCCCCTTCAGAAGCGTGAGGTGCGCAAGACGCGCGAGCCAGGCTCAGAGCTGCCTACCCTGCACTTAAACGGTGCTCTTTCTGTTCTCCGATCGCCATGCCCACGCTGTACGAGCTGACCGCGGTCCCGGCCGGCTGGCCCGTGGAGACCGTCCTCGACGCCTTCGTGCACTTGGCGTCGTACAGCCCTGCTGTTGCCGGTGTGCAGCGTGCCTACGAGGCCGTGGAGGCGCGGCTGGTGGAGCTCTGGGCCGCGCGGCCGGCGGAGGCGGCGGCCTGGCGCGGTCTGAACGAGGACCGCTCCCAGGAGCGGCTCGCCGAGCTGCTCCTCCAGCACTGGCGGAGCGAGCTGAGCCGCTGGAGGGTCACCTCCTTCTCGGAGGCGGGGCTGCAGCGAGAGACTCGGAGTCGGACGCTTTCTTTGTCGGAGTGGGAGGCTCAAGTCCGCCCTCGTTGCTGGGAGCTCGCTGGGCGGCTGGCAGCGGCCGAGGCGGAGGCAGAGGAGACGGCGCGGAAGCGGCAGAAACTGGAGGCGAAGGGCCAGGAGGCGGAGCCGCTGCGGGAGGAGAAGAGGCAGCTGGGCGAGCGCCTGGAAGCCGCCGAGGCCGAGCTCCATTCCGCGAAGGAGGTCGTCGCCCAGCAGAAGTTGGAGAACGCGCAGCTCAACGCCAGCTTGGAGGCGGCGCAGGCGGCAAGTGCCGAGAAGCAACAGGAGCTCCAAGCCGCGAAGCACCAGTGCGAGCTGCTCACGGAGCGTGTGGCGGCGGCGGAAGCGACCTTGGCGGACAAGGCGCGCGAGGTCCAGGCCGCTCAGGACGAGGGTGTCGCGCAGAAGGACTGGTGCGAGCAGCTTGCGCGTCGTTTGGAGGCCTCAGAGGCCGAGGCGTCAGGAAAGCAACGTGAGCTCCATAGGTTGCAGGCAGATTGTGACGGAAACAAGGCAGACTTGAAGTCCATGATGGAGAACGCAGCTCTCAAGAAGGTTGGCGATTTGCTGGAGCAGCAGCTTGCAAAGGCGGAGGCCAAGTTGGAGGCCAAGTCGGGCCAGATGCAGGCCCTGTCGGAGGAGAAAGGCGTGTACAAGGAGCGCTGCCGCCAGCTGGCGTGCCAGCTTGCCGAGGCGAAGGAGGAGGCAAAGCGCTTGAGAGGCGGGCCCCCGGCTCAGGCCAGCCTCGCCAGCCACGGCCCGGGTGTTTCCAGAGAGGCCTCCAGCCATGGGTCCAGCCTCGCGGAGCAGCTGGGGTACACGGTGGTGGAGGACGACGTGGCCTCCTCCGTGCTGAGCCGCTCCTCCGGCTTCTCCGTGAAGCCGGACTGCTTCATGCCTGAAGCCGTCTTCAAGAGCCGCAGCTCCGTCATGGACTTCTATCTCATGGGCAAGGACCTCCAGAAGAGCTCGCAGGTGGTGGCCGGGGACGGCGAGAGCATCATGGACGTCGTCGAGATCTCGAAGGAGCACCGCAAGACCGAGCTCGTCAGCCTGGAGGCGGGGGATGCCTCGCTGCAGGTGACCCACGACCATCTCGTTCAGGTCCCCGATGCAAACGGCGAGCTGGGAAAGATGCTCTACCAGAAGGCCGGTGCGCTGAAGGTGGGTGACCTGGTGGTGCTCGATTCCGGGGAGCCGGTGCCCCTCACCAACGTCCACACGGAGCCCGCGGAGTGCGAGGTGCTGAGGGTCGTCTTCGACCCGGACCTGCCCGTGGCCGCCTTCTCCTGCCCGCCTTGCATCCTCACGAAGGGCCACAAGAGGAAGCCTCCTGTTCGCCGCGGGGGCATGTGTTCCAGGGGCAAGGGGGCGGCATCGACGGCATCGGCGGTAGCATTCGAGGCGGCGGATGGAGGAGCCTCCATGCCCGATACGGCAGCCGGAGTGTACACGGACTGAGCCGACCGGTCACACAGTATAGAGGTTTCGTAGCGCCGGCGAGCTCCGAGCCCGCGCATGTGCGGATTCCTTGCAGTTCTGGGCGGCGCGCTGTCAGTTTTCCAAGCAGCTGAGTGCACGGCCGCCCTGCGAGTCAGTGCCTCACGCTTCTTTGGACGACCGCCGCTGGCCCCCGAGTGATTTTGGGGGCGCCGCGCACGCAGGCCAAGGTTACATGTAGGCTGCCATGTCCGGAAGCATAATGTCCGGCCATCCGCAGCTTGCGTGGTGGAAGCGTACTTACTTAACAGTCCCGGTGAGAAACCGAAAGGCAGCGGTATGTAACCGGTAGGCTCGCAGTGCCAGCGCCACGGGCACCTTTTTTCAAACATCTTCCCATGGGGCGGCGTCGCCGACTGGGCTATCTATGTTGCTTAGCTTGTGTAGGCCTACTGGAATCCAATCATAGCATGCCCTCTTCAAAAGTTACTTGAGTGAGGGTCCGCTCCTTCACGAGACGCGCCCTGCTGCTTCTGACGAAAAGGGGCGCCGAAAATTGAACCTCCAGAGGCCCCCGGGAGCATCTCTTTACGAGGCAGCCTCGGTGTGGCAGTTGCATCGAGTCGCATGTGCCTGAAGCCTTAGAAGCCTCTGCGCCCCCACAGAGCTCCCAAGTTCTCCTACTCGGAGCCCTCCCCGCCCCCTCCCTTCCCCCAAAGATGCCGACAGATGTCCTGCGCCCGCTTTGAGAGCTCCGCCCAATAGAAGACGGGTTCCGACTGCGAAGCACCCGCCCTTATAGGAATCTCCGATTTCGTCACTCCTTGGGGAAGCTGCCAAGGCCGCTCGTTTGTTTTTTGCTTGGGACCCTGCTCTCGTTTTCTGCAGGTCCCGCTGGCAGACTGTGCAGGCTTTGATCGCATTCGAGGCGCTGGAAGTTGCAGGGGGAGGGAGAAGTGTAGGTGGCCTCTCAGGTTCCCGTCTTCGCTCCCATCTTCGCAAATTTTTGGTGGAGTTTTCCCACATTGCCGCTCAGCATACCAGAACTCTACTGCCAACCCCATGTTCCAGGTTGTCGGTGTGTGTGTGTGTGTGGCCGTTTCGGGAGTGTGGGGCGTTGTTCAGGCGCCCGAGCGGGTGTATATACGGTCTTTACGAAGATGTTCTTTTGGGGTGCAGGCGGAGGCTCCGGGATGATGCTAGAAGTTCTTGGAGTTCAAGGAGCCTAAACATTTCGTAGACCCGGTAAGCCCCGAACATTGAGAATAGCCCGTCCCCGACAAGTTAAAGGTTCAACTGCTGGCTAGAGCTGAGATTCTTTCACCCATGCAGACCCAATGCAGACTTTATTTGTTCCTCTGAATGCAGACTTCATTGCTCCTATTGCATTTAAGAACATTCAAGAGCTTGAAAGTTCAAATGGCCAAGGGGGTCTATATGGGCGATCCCTCACAGTGACCCGCATCGAATCCCCAGATCCCCCAGCCTTGCAAATGGCCTCCCGATTCGCCTTTAAAGGGTTTGCAGGGTTTATAGGGCTTACTATGCGGTTTATAGGGCTTGCAGCGTGTCTAGGGTCTAGGGCTTGCCCCAAAAAGAGAGCTCATGGGTCAGGGCAAAAGAGTGGGGTGGCTACACTTGCAACTTTTTTTTTTTTTTGGGGGGGGGGGGGGTTAATGAGTTCTCCCTGAACCCCCTCAAGTATCCTGGGCTCTTCTTCGGAGTCCTCCCAAGCACCTACGAAGAGCAGACTACTTGGAGGTGCATTGGGGTAGTTACGAGTAGGGCTACGTATGCAGTATGGTAGCTATACTTCTAACCTTACCTAGGGTACTTCTTACCCTACTTGCAAGTACCCATGAACCTCCAAGTAGGTAAAGGCCCACCACGAGCGCCCTGCAGATTCTGTAGAGCTCCCCTTTTGCTGGAAGGACCCTAGGAACACAGTTTTTTTTTTTAATGCCGTGAAGCCTCTCCTCAATCTTCTGTAGCTTGTCTGAAGAGTTCCCACAAGGGAAATTCAGCGCCCTCAGAAGTCCCGAATTGGGCGCCTTTTCCCCGTGAAGGTGCTCTTGCCTTCAAATTTCCCACCCTCCCCCCACAAGGTCATATATGCCCTCCCACTGTTCGGAAGGCTTCGGCGATTTCACGGGGGCTTTGCGGGACGTTTCGGGCTCGAAAGCGGACGGCCAAGCTCGAAAAAATTTGGACATGAGAGGCCCTCGCCATGAAAAGGGCCCCTGGGCCTCCTCGGTCTGGCCCTTGTGAGATCCTGCTAAGGGAGCTCATACGTCATTCCAGTGACCAGCTAGATGCAGACTGGACATTTCAATAGAGTTCGTAGAAGTGAAAGCAAGATCAGCGCAACAGAAGATGTGCAAGAAGTATGAGCCATGCATGCTTGCCGCAGCCAATGTCTAGCTAAGCCGCAGCTGCACGAGAGTTCCGTCTGACTTGCTCAGTTGGGTAGCTCAACCCTAGAAAACCCCCAAACCCTAGACCCTAAAAAGCCCAAGCCCTGAAAAACCATCCTAAACCATCTTACCCTAAACCGTACAACTCGGCCATGAGGGATATGGAGCGAAAAGCGCATGAGAGCTTCGCAGACGCGGGCGAGCGCGTGCAGAAGGCCGCGGTGAAGGTGCTGGCAGAGCAGATCGGCGTTCTGAGGCGGAGCAGCCCGATGAACGCCTACGAGGCCTGCGACTTGCTGCGGTTCGTCTGCGAGGAGCTGAACGAGATGGTGGGAGACTTGCGGGGTACCTGGCAGCGCGCGCAGCCCGGGGAGCCGGTGCCTCCCTTGCCGGTGGAGGATATCCCGGCCGAGGAGCTGCTGAAGATCGGCTGGGACTTCCACTCCAACCGGGTGAGCATCATCAACACCGGCGCCTCATTTCTGGCGTCGCTCCAGCTTCTGATGTCCTGTGACCAGAATCGGAGCTATGCAAAGCCCCCAAGCGAGGGTCAGATCCTGGAAGCCTTAACAGCCGTACACACCCGCCTGACGCCTGCCACTTGATGCTCCGCAGCTGCTTCGGGGGCCCAAGGGCTTTCGCTGACTTTGCAAACTGTTCCTCTCAAGCCTCGAGCCTCCCGCGAGCTGTAGAGAGGACCGCCCCCGCCGATCTCCTCTCCTCTCCTGACTGGAAGGCGACATAAATGAGGGAGGTGCCCCGCTGCCAAGAAACCCGTCGCCAGCGCCATCTCGAGCCTTGTGAAGCCGCAGGGCCCTCGTGCAGAACCGGGAGATCTCGACTGCTTTCGGAGCTTTGGGAAGGTCTCGCAAGTCCCTGCAGTTTGCTGTGCCCAAAAAGGGCCGCGAGCTTGCCGGGGTTCGAGGGGAATTCGGGGGCTGACGAGTTGGAGCGATCCAAGGATGGTGTAAAGCGGAGCTTTCTGGGCGCCACCGCCGCTCAGCGTACACCGCGTGTACACACGCTTGCTCTCTCGGTGTGGGCATGTACGAACCTTGATCAAGACAGTTGCCGTTGGGGCAATTGAGAACCCTAAACCCTAAACCCTAAACCCTAAACCCTAAACCCTAAACCCTAAACCCTAAACCCTAAACCCCCCTAAACCCTAAACCCTAAACCCTAAACCCTAAACCCTAAACCCTGATTGCACAACAGCGCGGTCCAATAATCAGCCCTTAAGCTTTCGAAGCTCTATAAACCCTTGAATCCCAGGCTTCGGCCCTATGGCCTCCGCCCCAAGAAGCGGGTGGGATACGTACTTTGGGGCCAGGGGGTTCAGTAGTCTTGGCATGGTAGACCTACATGTTTTGAAATTCTGTACTACGCCATCAAGAAGTTTTCAGGGATGCATCCCACGCTTTGCCAGGCGGTCTTTCAAAGAGTTTCGAGAAGAACGGTGATGGCGAGCTGACTTCGGAGGAGCCGTGGGGAAGGCAGCTGAGTTGTTTTTAAATAATACGGTTTCATGATTTAGGCATTTAGGGAGTTTAGGGTTTAGGGTTGTTTTGGGGGTTCTGGTGTTGCGTTCATGTCCAAAGCGTGCAGAACTGATGCCGCCAGCCAGCACACTTGCCTCTTGGCATTGTATGTTCGTACCCCCTGCCTGCCCCTACATCCCTAAAATGCAAGTTTCACGGTTGGAATTGGAACCACCCGAAACCCTAAACCCCGAACCCCAAAACCTAAAACCCTATACCTCAGCCCTGAGTCCTTAAAAAAACTACTTGCAGGTTCTTGATCGAATCTGCCAGGATACTCGCGCGTTTAAGATCAACGATATCCTCCATGATGTTTCATACGTGTATTTCACCAAATCGGACTACCCCTTCTATACCAAAAACGCAAGAATCCGTATAATTGTGGGAAGCCTCCCCCCCCCCACCTCAACAACAAATATAGAATGCAGAGGGAGAGGGTAATTACCTCCATTGTCGGAAACCTCGCATCGTTCAAGGCTCGGGGTGGTTCTTGGGTGTTTGTCAGTTCCGCAGCCTGCTCCCGCAGGCTGCGTACCCTTTAATTTAAGGAACGTACCTTAAATCATATGAAGGATCCCTATGTAGTTTGAGGTATTATTCCTTAATTAAGAGGTATTGGGCCCTCTAGGTGTGTGGAGGGTTGAGGTTGGGTTCTGCGGTAAGTCACTCTCCACACAAATGCCGCCTCCTGCCGGTTCTTCAGCCGCTGCTTGGTTTTTTCCTCACCCGACTGCCCATGCGAGCGGATGTTGAATGCAAGAGGGCGTGATGAGGCGTCATAGGGTCTCGGAGTTCCTTCTTTCTGGTGACGAGTCTGACCATGCGAGCTGGATACGCGTCACTGTTCGATGCTTTTGCTAGGGAAATCCCCCCAAACCTTTTAATCGCCAGCCTGACAAGGATTCCAGCAAGTCCGGCGCTGTCTCCCATGGTTTCCATCAAAAGTCGTGCGAACGATAATGCACTGTTTTTCGCAATTTCGCACCGGAAGTCCCTGCAAAGGGCACACAGTACTCAGCACCTCAAAAACTTCTATACAAATATCTACTTCCTACCAGAAACAATCACCAAAGGCAGAACTCCCCAAGCCATGAGGTCCTGACTTGTGTCAGCAGTTTTGCACACCCCACGTCAGAAGCTGAAACCCCCATCTGTGACCTTGAAGGCATCACACCCTGTGAGCAGCATGAAGTACCAAGTCTCAAGAACTGAAGCTTTCAGGATCTTCGAGCTGGTGCGGAAGCTACTGCAGACCTGGCCAGACGCTCGAGAGTCGCTGCATGTGCCAAGTCATGCGCAGTTCACAGCGTTTTGTTTTTTTTGTTTGTTCTCCCTGCTTAGCGCCTTGCGCTTTCAAATTGCAAGGAGTTCCCTTTGCTTGAGAGTCAGCCGTTCAACCTAGCAGCTCGGAAGCGCTCGTGCCGAAGCAGTTCAGGATCTTGGAGGTCATGGGAGGTGGGCGCGGAGCTTTTGCGCGCCAAGGCGTGCGGCGTGGAGAATTGACCTTGCTTCTGAAGTTTGGAACTGCATTGTTGAAGTACCTCCTTTGCTCTGTGCCACTTTGACGTATAGAAGGGTTTTGCCCAGATGTTTGCGCGAAGTTGTCAGTCTCTGGGCTTTCAGAGAGGTGCGCATGCGCGAGCCCGGCTCAGAGAAAGGAACTTCCAGGAGAGAGCCCGGCCCGCTGCCCACACTAAAAAAGGGTGCTCCTTTGCCTTCTCGAGATCGCCCTAATGCCGTTTCTTGACGAGCTGACCGCGGTCCCGGCCGGCTGGCCCCTGGAGACCGTCCTCGACGTTTTCGTGCACTTGGCGGTGTTGTGGGATGCGCCGCATGCCGAAGAGGCGGTGGCGGCGCGGCTGGTGGAGCTCTGGGCCGCGAACCCGGCGGAGGCGGCGGCCTGGCGCGGTCTGAACGAGGACCGCTCCCAGGAGCGGCTCGCCGAGCTGCTCTTCCAGCACGCGCGGAGCGAGGTGAGCCGGTTCGACGTCCACTCCTTCTCGGAGGCGGGGCTGGAGCGCGAGGCTCGGGGTTGGACGCCTTCGCCGGAGTGGGAGGCTAAAGTCCGTCCTCGCTGCTCGGAGCTCGCTGGGCGGCTGGCAGCGGCCGAGGCGGAAGCGGAGGAGACGGCGCGGAAGCGGCAGAAAGTGGAGGAGAAGGGCCAGGAGGCGGAGCCGCTCCGGGAGGCGAAGAGGCAGCTGGGCGAGCGCCTGGAAGCCGCCGAGGCCGAGCTCCATTCCGCGAAGGAGGAGGTCTCGCAGCAGAAGTTGCAGAACACGCAGCTCGGCTCCGAGCTCCAAGCCGCGAAGCGCGAGTGCGAGCTGCTCACGGAGCGTGTGGCAGCGGCAGAGGCGACGTTGGCGGACAAGGCGCGCGAGCTCCAGGCCGCGCAAGACGAGGGTGCCGCGCAGAAGGAGTGGCGCGAGCAGCTTGCGCGGCGCTTGGAGGCATCAGAGGCCGAGGCGTCAGGAAAGCAACGTGAGCTCCAAAGGTTGCAGGACGAGTGCGACAAGCAGAAGGAGCACTGCGAGCAGCTCACGTATCGCGTAGCCACGGCGGAGGCCGTCTCTGGAAGCAAGGCAGACTTGCAGACGCTGCTGGAGAACGCAGCTCTGAAGGAGCGTGGTGAGCTGCTCGGGCAGCAGCTTGCAAAGGCGGAGGCCAAGTTGGAGGCCAAGTCGGGCCAGATGCAGGTCCTGTCAGAAGAGAAAGGCGTGTACAAGGAGCGCTGCCGTCAGCTGGCGTGCCAGCTTGCCGAGGCAAAGCAGCAAGCAAAGTGCTTCGACGGCGAGTGCTCAGTTCATGCTGGCGTCGCCCAACATGTCGCAGGCAATGAATCTGGTGAAGATGCCTCTGAGTCAAGCTTGCCGGATCAGATGGGCTACACTTTGGTGGGTTCTGATGACGACAACGCTGCCTCGTCGGTTCTGAGCCGCTCCTCCTGGTTCTCCGTGAAGCCTCACTGCTTTATGCCAGACGCTATCTTCAAGACCCGGAGCTACGGTACGGACTTCTTCCTCATGGGCCGGGATCTTAAGAAAGGCTCGCAGGTGGTGGCCGGGGATGACAAGACCATTCTGGAGGTGGCCACGAACCCCGAGCTCTGCCATGCCACCGAGGTCGTCGACTTGCTTGCTGGAGCTGCCACACTGCGGGTGACCCCGGACCACCTCGTGCAGGTGCCGGATGCCGCAGGCGGCTCAGGGAAGAACCGCTATCTCCCGGCTGGAAAGCTGGCGGTGGGCGATCTGGTGATGCTCGATTCGGGGGAGCCGGTGGCCCTCGACAGCATTGCGATTCGTCCCACGGAGTGCGAGGTGCTGAAGGTCGCCTTCGAGCCGGACTTGCCCGTGGCCGTCTTCTCCTGCCCTCCCTGCATCCTCAGCCTGGGCCACAAGCGGAAGACGAAAATCCGCCGCGGCTGGGGGCGCCAGAAGAGGATCCAGGGAATGGAAGACGAGAGCATGAACGGCGCAGCCTCCGTCTTGATGACAGCCGGCGACTACATGGACTAAGCAAACCATAATTTATAGTGAAGAACGGCTTCCGATTAACACATGGAGCCATCCATTGATTGAGCCTGCAAGCGCACACTTCAAGAATTCACACACCTCTTGCAGCGCGGGCCAGTTCCGTTCAGCGCACGGCTGCGATGCCGGTGCCTTAACCAGCTTGGCTTGTTGCCAGAGGTCGCTCTCCAATGCAGCGCACGCGGCCCCCATCTGGTGGAATGGAGCCCTTGTTGCTAGGCATCTTCGATGAGAGTCTGTTTTAGTTAACTATAGGTCGGCAATGCTGAGAGGGGCGCGCGGTGCCTGCAAAGGGAGCTGCTTAGACAGAATCTTCCCTACCGCGTGTGGCTCACAATTTTGGAGCACCTTGCGCAGCAGAGCGCCGGTGGCAGTCGCTAGTCTAGACCTTGCCTGGGTGTCGAAAAAAAGGGCCTGCGTACCACAGCTCATGCAGCACATGCATCCTCATGACACGTCCCAGTCAGCACCCTGTGAAACTTCCGACGTCTGATGGGTCTCAGACGCCGGTCGCATCTTCGTAAAGGCGGGTCTTGAGTGCTCACCTTGCGAGGCCGCCAGGCCCTGCGCTCCTGAGGCCTGTGGACGGAAAGTGTCCCCATGCTGCACCTGCAGGCATTGGTGTCAAGAGTGGGGGGCTTTGTATGCTCACTCCACATTTTTGGCCGGACATGGGCCGTGGCTTTTGTCGTCTGCCTCTTTGGGTTTGAGGTCTTTGGCAAGAAGTCGCATGAGGCTTCTCGCTTCTGCAGCTCCGCCACTCTGTCAAAGCCGCGGCTTCGTGGGTGTGCGGCGCAGCGCGCGTTGCATCTGCTTTCTTCTCATGTTCTCTTCGTTCATTTGCAGGAAACTGCTGCCTGCCGCAGCGTTTCGGGATATGTCGGCTAGTTGCATCATGATTTCTCACACTTTGGGCTTTTGAGCCCCTGTGTCCTCCCCCAAACAACTTCAAAGAAACCAGAGGCCGCGGAACACTTTCGACAGCTGCAACTTTTTTTGCATGACACATCATGAGACCGTCACTCTCTCTGGATACGAACCGAGTCCTTGCCTCCTTTCGTTGGGAGCGAAGCGCGGCCAATTCCTACCAAACCCGGATGCTCGAGCCCTTTCAGGCAAGGCCTAGCGAGTCTCCTCAGTGCGACGGCTGGGGCAATGAGAGAACCAATTAGTTGGTTCGTCTCCTGGGGCAGTGCTGTGCCACGGAGAGATTGCGGGGTATAGGCATTGGGGAAAGAGAGGCGAGGCCAGGAGCTACGGGGCGGCACTTTAAGGAGAACAGTGACACCGTTGCGACTGTGCTTGCAAATTCGTTGGGTACCTGCGTGTACCGACAGCCATGACTCTGTGCTCCGGACGAACGGAAAAAAGCACAAACTCGACACCAAGAAAGCTCACGCACTGAAGTGAAGCCATATGGAAACGCTATACTTCCTGCAAACCTATAGACTTAGACCCAAAATCCTCAGCCCAGGCACCTAAGCCCTCAACCCATTACACCAACCTGGAAAAATCAGCTCGAGCCATGGGGGACGCCAAGCGCCTGAAGTCTGGCGACCCGCAGGAGGAGGGATTTTGCCCCAAACACAACAACCCTCAAGCCCTTGCAGGGTTTAGGGTTTAGGGTTTAGAGTTTAGGGTTTAGGGTTTATAGGGTTTACGGTTTACGGTTTAGGGTTTCGGGTTTTGGGTTTTCGGATTTCGGGTCTAAGCTCGGCATGTAACTCCTATGTAGGTTTTCCTAGCTGCTTGTTCCCGTCGTTTCCGCGGGCGCCTCCCAGCTGCCTAAGGCTCGGGATTGGGTGCTTCCTTGGCCAGGTCTTCTTTAAAGGATAGAGTCCGAAGGGCATGGGATGCTTCTCTTACCCGGGTTCTATGGCCTTGATGGGGAGCGCCATCAAAACCCGCACGAAACCCTGTGTCTGAGAGCTGCCCAGGCCTTGAATTCTTGAATTTTTGAGTTGTTGGGGAGGCGGGGGTAGGGTGAGGCTTCAGTGAGGCTTCCGTTTGTGGGGGGCTTGCGGAGCTCCCCTCCTTCTTCCCCCCGGCAGGATGCGAAGCAGCTGGCGCAGCTGCTGCTGACGCAGGCGTCGCTTTTCAGGGGTTTAGGGTTGGGGGTTTTGGCTTAAGGGGTTAGTGGCTAAGGGTTTCGCAGTGCCGAAACTGTTAAGGGAGCAGAGGGGGGCTGCTTTTCCTTGACCGAAACACTTAGAAGTCATTGCTTGAAAGGTGGACCTCAGGGCGTGAGGCTTGGGGGCTTCGAAGCCTTTTTTTGTTGGAGGAAGCACATTCTGTACTACACACTATTGTATGACCAACCCCCTTCTACCCCTGAAACCTTGCGAGGACCATGTGCGCCAGCTCGCCTGCCCCGAGCTCGTCGAGGACGTCCTGGCGTGCTCGGTGGCGCAGGGGGTGGTCATGTACCCGAAGCCGCTCAACAAGAGGGAGGCGGGGAGCTACACTGAACCCTTTAAGGCTCTAAAACCTCAGCCCTCAAACCCTGCACCCTACAAACCCTAAAACCCTACTGTTGGGATGTCTGCGCTTAACATCCTGTCAGCCCTGAACCCCTGAACCCTGCAAGCCTGAAGCCCTGAACAACAAGGGTTTATCATGTTTAGAGCGCAATGCAAGACTTGTAGGTTAAGGCTTCAATTGGGGGAAGGCTCAAGGGCCGTCTTACATAACCTGCAGCAGTGCAGTAGGTTCTGGGTTCTCAGGATAGGGTCTACATATAAACCCCAAAAGCCCTAGACCCTACCCCCTAAGCCCTAAACTCTACACCCATCTAAACCCTAAAGCCTAAGCCCTAGACCCTACCCCCTAAGCCCTAAATTGTAAACGCTTGCGCGCGCCGCCTCGGCAGCCGGGCCGGCCCCAGGACAGGAAAGGAGGAAAGAGGGTTTCGCAAAGAAGGGCAGAGCAGGTGGGGGGGAGGTGGGGGGGGGGGGGTGAGGGGGGGGGGGGGGTGGGGGGGGTGGGGGGGGGGGGGGAGGGGGGGGGGTGGGGGGGGGGGGGGTGGGGGGTGGGGGGGGGGGTGGGGGGGGGGGGGGGTGGGGGGGGGTGGGTGTGAGGGGGGGTGAGGGGGGGGTGCGGGGGGTTTTGAGGCACTTCCCCTGTAGGAGCCACCGACAAGCGGGACCCTCCACGGCATCGGTTTGCAGCTCCTCCAAGGGATTGGGGGGGGTCCCACAGGGCGGGGGGGGGGGGTGGCGTCAGAAAATTTGGCATGGGGGGAAGGGTTGGGTTAGGGGGGAAGGAGGCCCGATCCGGGTCTGCTTGTTCCAGACGCTTCTCGGCAGGAAGCCGAGGCGAACTCTACACCCAAACCCTCCTTTGAGCTACTACGAAAACACAGAGGCCAGCGCGGTCCCCTTGACGCTCACGCCCTGTCCGCTGCCGGCGAGCAGCTTCCGCATGGCGGAGGACCTGGCGCGGCTCGCATCGGAGTTAGGGTTTAGGGTTTAGGGTTTAGGGGGGTTTAGGGGGGTTTAGGGGGGTTTAGGGAGTTTGGGGAGTTTAGGGAGTTTAGGGAGTTTAGGGAGTCTAGGGAGTCTAGGGAGTTTAGGGAGTTTAGGGTTTAAGGGTTTAGGATTTAGGGTTCAGGCTTTAGGGTTTAGGGTTTAGGGTTTTTCAGTTCATGACGGTGGGGGTGGGTTTATTGGGTTGGGGGTTTAGGGTTAAGGGTTTCAAGTTCCGGGCTTAGGGTTTAGGTTTTTCGAGGTGCCTGCATACTTTTCGCCCCAAACCCATTTCAATCTCGGATTTGGGTTAGCAAAATTCCTTTGACATGTCGTGACGTCCTCTGCTCTTAGGCCCCAGTTCCATTTGCTCATGGACAACGTCTGCTGCGCCCGTGCGGAACTGCAGTTTAGGGTATCGGGTTTAGGGTTTAGGGTTTAGGGTTTAGGGTTTAGGGTTTAGGGTTACTGCAGGTTAGGGTATAGTGGTTATGAATGATGGTTTGGAGTCTACAGGATTTAGCCGGTTTAGCATGTCGGGGCTTGAGGGGCTCAGGAGTTGAAAAGGATTGCTTGGTGGAGCGCCGCTCAGGAGAGTAGTGTTGGCGAGCTGTCCATGTGTGGCTCAGAACGCAATCCGAAGATGAGCTCTGCTATCGGACCGGAGGCCCGTTACTCAAAGGACCCAAGAACATGTTCAGAGAGGAGGGTTCCGATCAGTCTTCACAGGACGTGTGGCGAACACACGTCCTCATGTTCTCTCCACTTCCTACATCTGGACAGACTGAACCCTAAACGAACCCCCCCCCCCCCCTGCCAAGCAGGTGACCTCGCCTGGCTCCGGCAAGCCCTGGCGAAGACGGGTGCGATGGACCTCATCTGCCGGAAGCTGCTCGAGGCCCAGAAAGGGTGCAGGGTTCGGGGAGCCTAGCTAACATCGAAAATGCTAGTTCTACTTAACCAGGCTCGTTGTTTTTGTTTCAACCCCTTAAGCATGAGTGCCAGAAGATGGGAGACTCCTCATGCACTGGTTTGGTGCTCCTTTTCAGTGCCAGCCGAGCGCGAGGTGTGCGAGCAGACGTACAACAGTGAAACGGGCAAGGACCGGGTTTAAAGTTTGTGTCTTGTTTTTAGTGCTTATTACTTGTATGCATGACCTACACATTTGTAGGGTTTGGGTTTGCAGGTGCGCCTTTCCATTCCTTTCCAGTTTGCAGTTTAGGCCTTGAGGTTAAGTACAAGTACAGGGCGTGGAAGCCATTCGCCCTACCACCACAGACACCAGAACCAATTCCACGCACAAAGATGAAACAAAACAAAGGCTGTTTCTGAAGAGATGCCGGATATGTCTACATGCTGAAAGAACTGAGCTATCTGAGCTATCAGCCACCATTAAGCCCTAGAGTCCTAAACCAAGAAAGCGCTTCAAAAGGACCCGAAGGACGACATAAGGCCCGCAGCGGCTGTGCATAGGGTCCTTGTGGGAACAAGCCCGAGTGGATGGTTTGTTTGGGCTTAGAGGGCGTAATTAGAAGCTTCAGGGTTAACGTTTTGGGTGTTTTTTGGGTCTATAGAAGTGTCCTGAAGGGCATGTAGGACTCGGTTGCCCCAAGCTACTACCTGTAATTTGTGCCTTTGGGGGTTCTTGGGTTGCAACCATATGGTCCGAATGGATCCTTTTTGGGAAGGGTTAGAGGTTCCGGCTTCTGGTCGAGGGCTTACCTTCATAAATCCCATAGCCCAAGGCTCCCTGAGCCTTGAGGACCATATGAACCCCAAAAAGGTGTATGTTTCATATTGCCTTAATAGGAACTACAGTACCCTAAATGGGTGTATGGTTCATATTGCCTTAAGAGGAATTATAGTAGCATAGGTTCATGTGGTCCCCAAGGAACATCGAACCCCAGAGCCTCTCTGCAGCCTGAACAAAAAGGGTCAGGGTTTAGGGTTTAGGGTTTAGGGTTTAGGGTTTAGGGTTTAGGGTTTAGGGTTTAGGGTTTAGGGTTTAGGGTTTAGGGTTTAGGGGTTGCTTCACCAGGCTGCACATCATGCGCAACGACTTCATGTTCGATGCCCAGCGCGACCCGGCGCGCGCGATGGTGCAGATCGAGCTGCCGCCCAGCTGCTCCCAATCCCTGCGGGGCTTGTCTAGGGGGGTTTAGGGTTGCAGGTCAGTAGGTTCATAGAATACGCGAACAGTGGAATCCTTGTTGTCTGAAGTGCTTTCTCCACGGACTTCCTGAACTTTGCACTCCGAGCTCGCACGACTTCCTCAGCTGTGTGAGGCAAGAGGGAGAGTAGAAGATGCAGTTTGTCGCACTAAGCCCTAAGCCCCAAGCCTTAAGCCCTAAGCCCTAAACCCTATAAACCCTAAACCCCAAACCCTAAACCCTAAATAAAGCGCCTCTTCATTCCAGTCCTTGGATCCTTGCGTTGCGGCTTCGCCTGCTTGCCGCAGAGTCCCACGCTGAGGAACATGATGGCCGCGTCCTTCTCCACGCACTGCCAAGACCTGACGGAGACCCACCGCTACGTGCTCACGACGCCGGGCGCGAACCCCAAGAAAGTTCTCAAAGATTTTTCTCCAGCTCAACCCCACACGCGCAACCCTGAACCAAAGCTTATGCCACGCTAGTAAAGCCTTTTGAGTTGTATTTTGTATTCTCTGGCCATTGCAGTTAGCCTGAGACCCTGAACCCAAAACTGTTAATCCCTGAGCCCCCTGTAGGTGCCTAAACCCGCACCATGTAAGCCTACGGTAAGAACCCAGAGCTTTCTTTTGGTGCATGTGGGGTTGCCTCAGGAGTCTATAAGGGGCCCTACAAAAACGGTTCACAGGTCTGGGGTTCGTAAGATAAGCCCGAAATAAGGATCTGAAACCCCGAAACTCCCCTGAAAGGAAGTTCTTGGGCCGCCAAGAGACGGGCTTGGGCCCGCGGAGAACCGCCGCAGCGCTCGAGGTGGCGCTGCCAGGGAGCCCTGCGGCGGAGAAGGCTCGGAGGGGGAGGTTTAGGGTTTAGGGTTTAGGGTTTAGGGTTTAGGGTTTAGGGTTTAGGGTTTAGGGTTTAGGGTTTAGGGTTTAGGGTTTAGGGTTTAGGGTTCAGGGGGAGGGGGGGGGGGGGGGAAGAGGAGGTTCAGGGTCTGGGGTTCAGGGTTCATCGGGTTTATCGGGTTTAGGGTTTGGGGGAAGGGGGGTTCGGATTTAGGGTGTGTATACGGTGTGTAGGGTGTGTAGGGTCTAGGGTTTAGGGTCTGGGTTTAGGGGTGGGCTGGGGACGTGTAGGGAAAAGGTTAGGTGGGGTTTAGGGGGTTGGGTTCGAGTTTCCCAAAAGGAAGTCCTCTAAGTCCTATGCAGCTGTGTATGAGCAGTAAGTTCGTACACCGTGCCCTGACCCCCTTCAAGCCCCTGGCCCCTGTGCAGATAGCCGAAGCGGTGGCCTCGGCGCACGAGGCCCCCTCCATGGCTGAGGAGTCCGAGTTGGGTACCCCGATTTTGTGCATTAAAGAAGCCGTTTATTTTGGGGTTCCCTGCAAACCTTAAGGTGGGCTCGTGGAAGCCAAGCCTAGGTGGGTGGAGGCTAGAGGGTTGAGGGCTGGGCCCTTTAGCCTCCGCCCCTTTGCTAACATCTATAGACCCCCCAAGGGCACTTCCACCCTATATTTGAGAACAGGGTTTTGGGGTTGCAGGCGAACCCAACAAAGCCCCGAAAGGCCTACGACGCTCGGTGGCAGAGCGTGTCCTCGGGCCGTCTTCGGGTTGTGCTGTGCCGCAGCCGCATTTGCTGCAAAGTAGCCCTTGCATCATACAGACGGCACAATTTCCATGAACTTGACTGCAAGAGAAAGACAGGTTACTTCAGATACAATTTTCAGAGTTTTGAAAGGTGACAGTTAGGGTTTTGTGTGTGTGTGTGTGTGTGTGTGTGTGTGTGTGTGTGTGTGTGTGTGTGTGTTTAACATGTTATCTAGGTACAGAGTTTGGAGCCCTCAGCCTTCGCTGCCTCACCTGACCTCTGGAGACGCACTCAGTCGCAAACACAAGAGCAGCAACACAAACAGCCAGCACAAGTAGAACATGATGCTTGCACCGTGTTGCCGCTGTGAACTCCTGAGCGAACCTGAAGCTTCATGATGGGCAGCTCTAAGCATGGTTAGAAGTATCCTGCATGAGATGATGCACGGCTGTAGCTACTGGCAACCAACTTGGTCCTCAGAGCTCTGTAGGAACTTGGAGGCAGGTTTTAAGCTAAGCCAATGCACCGGAGCCCTAAACCCTAAAGAAACCGATACGCCCTAAACCATAAATCCTAAAGCCCTGTACCAGAATCCTAAAGCCAGACCAAACCCTAAACCCTAAATACCCCAAATCTCACAGAGGTTCGTGTCCACCGAGGACGAGAAGAATGAGCTCGACCACAGGCCCGACTCCCGACCCCCAAGCGGGGTTTAGGGTTTAGGGTTTTGGGTTTATAAGGGTTTATAAGGGTTTATAAGGGTTTATAAGGGTTTTTATAAGGGTTTATAAGTTTAGGGTTTAGGGCACTCCCACCCCCAAATATTGCAGCCCCAACTTGCCAGCCGCTGGCGGTGTAAGGGCCGCCCTAAAGTCCCAACGCCCTCTCAACCGTGAGTCCTGAACCCTTAACCCCCAAATCCCAACGTCCCAAACCCCCCGAACCCCTTGAGCCCGAAATCCTAGAACCTTCACCCCTAAATCCAAAACCTCCTCAGCCTTGAAATTCACTGGTGGTCTCACCTGCGTGAGAGGAAGCTGGAGCTCGCCTTCGCGCGGAAGGGGCTCCTGTGCATGCGCCGGTCGCTGCCCTGCCCGGGCACCCACTATGGCCCACCATTGCTGGGCTTTTGGGGTTTTTAGCCTCTTTAACCCTCAACCCTCAACCCTCAACCCTCAACCCTCAACCCTCAACCCTCAACCCTCAACCCTCAACCCTCAACCCTCAACCCTCAACCCTCAACCCTCAACCCTAAACCCTAAACCCTAAACCCTAAACCCTAAATCCTAAACCCTAAACCCTAAACCCTAAACCCTAAACCCTAAACCCTAAACCCTATAACCCTATAACCCTATAACCCTATAACCCTATAACCTAAAGCCTAGACCCCTTTGGGGGTAGGGGTCTCATGACTGTGGGTTGCAGAGGGGCTGAATTATCTCCTCGCGGTTCATGTGGAGGATTACTTTTGTCTTCTGTGTGTGACGGGTGTGGGTGTGGAGCTTCCGGGTTCTTTTGCTTGTTGGGGGCGGGATTTGAAAATAGGAAGAACGACCTCAAGCTCCCTCAAGCCTAAATCCTCAACCCTAAACCCCAAACCCTGAACCTAAAAACCCTAAATCCTCAACCCTATAAACCCTAAACCCTGAACCTAAAAGCCCAAAACCCTGAACCACGCTTTGTCAGGTGGCCTGCAGAGCGTGTGGAGAAGAACCCTAAGCCCTAAGCCCTAAGCCCTAAGCCCGAAGCTCGAAGCCCGAAGCCCTAAGCGCTAAGCCCTAAGCCCTAATCTCTAAGCCCTAAGCCCTAAGCCCTAAGCTCCAAACCCCAAACCCCAAACCCCAAACCCCAAACCCTCAACCCCAAACCCCAAACCCCCAACCCCAAACCCCAAACCCCAAAACCCAAACCCCAAGCCCCAAACCCCAAACCCCAAACCCCAAACCCCAAACCCTAAACCTAAACCCCAAACCCTCAACCCAAAAACCCTAAACCCAAAACCCTAAACCCCAAACCCGGAAACCTCGGCCCAGGCCTGGCCACCGCCAGTCTCGAGCCCCTGGTGGCCGCGGAGGGCCGAAGGCGCGGCTGCTGCCACAAACCCTATAGGGTTTAGGGTTTAGGGTTTAGGGTTTAGGGTGTGTAGGGCTTTTGAGTTTGGGTTTTGGGGTTTGGGGGGTTGGGTCCGTAAGGCCTACATGAGGTCTGGGAGTGCTGGTTGTTTCCCTAAACCCCAAGCCCCAGACCTTGAATCTGTGGAGGTCCTCCGTCAAACAGCCAAAGGCCCTGGTCGTGGAGGGCCACGAGGCCCTCTTTCCATGGGCAGGAGGAGGGCTTCAAGGGACTGGGGCCCCTGCCCTCTCAGGCCACGTCACAGGTGCTGAAAGTGTTCCCCTTGACTCGGGTAAGCCACCAAGTGAAACGCAAAGAGGACTCAAGGCCCAAACCCTCTACTCCCCACTTTAATCCCTCTAAAACCCTATACTTCCTCTAATCCCTATAAAGCCCCTAAGCCCTGAACCCTAGAAGCCCTAAACACATCCTAAACCCCTAAGCCCTGCCTCAGGTGGCCGTGGCCTACTTCCGGTCCGGCTACTGGCCGGATCACTTCACGGGCGAAGCCTGGAAGGCCTCCAGATTCCTGCAAAAAGCCAAGAGTTGCAAGGGAATCCCAGGAAGGCAAGAGCCCTAAACAAAAACCCTCACTGAAGCCCTACACAAAAATTCCGATTTCAATCCCCAAGCCCCGAAACCCCCTAGAGCCCCAAATCCCCCTGCTACCCTACAGCCTACACCTAATCCCTCAACCCGAAACCCGAAACCCCCAAGCCCTAAACCCTAAACCCTAAACCCTAAACCCTAAACCCTAAACCCTAAACCCTAAACCCTAAACCCTAAACCCTAAACCCTAAACCCTAAACCCTAAACCCTAAACCCTAAACCCTAAACCCTAAACCCTAAACCCTAAACCCTAAACCCTAAACCCTGAACCCTAAGCTGCAATCTTCCCGGCTCCGGAGGCCCGGGCCATGATCGAGCGCTCCGAGGCAGTGAAGTGCCCCTCCGCGCCCGCGCAGCTGGCTGGCATGAAGAAGGCAAATGGGGGGGGGGGGGGGGTTCGGGTTTAGGGTTTCGGGTTTAGGGTTTAGGGTTCAGGGTTCAGAGTTCAGGGTTTCGGGTTCAGGGTTTAGGGTTTCGGGTTTCGGGTTTCGGGTTAAGGGGAAAGGGCCTGAGTGTGTATAGCTTGTGAGATAAAGGGTTTGGGGGTTTAAGCAGGTACTTGGTTTTAGGATGTCAGAGGGTTTGAAGGGTTTGAACCCCTAGGCCCCTGAGACTCCCTAAGGACTGAACCGACCTACAAATCCACAAGTGCTACGAACCCTGAACCCTGAACCTTATATAAGCCCAAAAACCATGTAAACCCTGTCACCTCAAAGTGGTCCAGCAGGACAATCCCACCAGGTCCAGCAACTCCTCTGCCTCCCCGCCGAGCTGCGAAAGTTCGCGCCGGAGGGCTCGGCCGAGGCGCTGGCCAAGACGCTCCTCGGGGGCAAAGATGCGTGTGTGCGGGGTTTAGAGGGTTTAGGGCTTGTAGGGTTCAGGATTCAGGGTTTTATAGGGTTTCTAGGGTGAACATGTTTATAGGGTTTAGGGGTTTGGGTTTAGGGCTTAGGGTGTTGGGGTTTGGGCCTTGTAGGGATTAGGGCCTCAAGGTGCGCAGGGTTTGGGACCAATAGCTTGCCCTTAAGCCCTGAGCCTGAACCGAACCGCTAGAAACCCTGTATTGCAAAACTCTTGGCGTCCATGAGCGCTAGGAAGCCCTGAGCTCTCGGAGCCTATGCATGCAGATGAGCTTAGGATTTGGAGTTTGGGGTTTTGGGTTGTGGTGCATTTTGGAGGGCCTTAGAAACCCTACATGCATAAGCTCTAAACCCTACACCCTAAGAGCCTGTAAAGGACAGGGAGAGCTCCAGCAAACCTACCCTTTTGAGCTCGAAGCCCAAGCCCCAATTCTCAGCTTCGATTGCCTGGGAGGTTCGGCCGCCAGTTCGACCCCAGCGAGGAGGCCGCCAAAGAAGCGGTCGAGGCGCAGCGGGTTGGCAGGGTTTGGGGTTTTTATTGGGTTCGGCGTCCCGTTTTAGGGCTTCTCAAGCCTTAGGGGGCTTAGGGCGTAGGATTTTTGGAAAAAAGAACGGTTTAGGGTTTAGGGCCGATTATGGCTCCTTGGTGTTGGGCATAGGCTTGGGGGTTTTGGGGTTTTCGGTGTTCAGATCTGGGTGTACGTAGGGCTAAAGACGATGTCAGGACTCAAGGCTGCAAGGAAGAAAAGGTCTAAGGCTAGGGCTTGTTGTACACTAAATCTGAAACGTACCCTACATCCTAAGCCCCTTAACCCTAAACACCCTAACCCCGGTAAACCCTAGCCGAAACCCTAAACCCTAAACCCTAAACCCTAAACGCTAAACCCTAAACCCTAAACCCTAAACCCTAAACCCTAAACCCTAAACCCTAAACCCTAAACCCTTAAACCTAAACCCTAAACCCTAAACCCTAAACCCTAAACCCTAAACCCTAAACCCTAAACCCTAAACCCTAAACCCTAAACCCTAAACCCTAAACCCTTAACCCTAAACCCTAAACCCTAAAACCCCCTGATATGCAGCTTCAGGCCGCCATCGCCGAGCCTGGGCGTTGGGTGCTGAAGCCGCAGGCCTCGCCTTCTTCCTGTGAGCTTCTTTGAAGGCTCTTTTGGGTGGTTTAGGGTGTAGGGTTTAGGGTTTAGGGTTTAGGGTTCAGGTTTAGAGTTTAGGGTTGGGGGTGTTTACGATCTACGGGGTCTAGGGTTCAGGGATCTTTAGGGGTCATGATGTATGCTGTAAGGACCATAAATGGGTTTATAAGTATAGTTACCATACTTCCTACCCTACTTCTAAGTATCCTAAACCCTAAACCCTAAACCCTAAACCCTAAACCCTAAACCCTAAACCCTAAACTCGAAACCCCAAACCCCAAACCCTAAACCCTAAACCCTAAACCCCATAAACCCCTGAACCTCCAACTCCGCCAGGTCGAAGGCTCCGGCGAGCTCTTCTTCGACGAGGAGATCCCGCGCAGCTTCGCCCGCAAGATGGGATCGCGAACTTAGGGTTTGGGGTTTAGAGGGTTTAGAGGGTTTAGGGTTTGGGGTTTAGAGGGTTTAGGGTTTAGGGTTTTTGGGTTTAGGGTTTAGGGTTTAGGTTTGAGGGTTTAGGGTTGGGGGTTTGGGGCTTGGGGTTGTGGGCTTGGGTCGCGAACTTAGGGTTTGGGGGGTAGAGGGTTCTCTAAAGTGCTAATCCCGGCACCCCAAGCCCTTGGATACAGGGTGTAGGTTTTTCGGTCTTGGTTTAGGGTTGAGAGTCTTGCCTTGACGACAGCTTCCTCTTGAGAGGCTTGGAGAAGAGTGCTTTGGGTTCTCGTGCACCATACCTTGCCAAGTTCTACCAAACCCTGCAGAACCCTACTGAAATCCCAAGCCCTAAGCCCCCCCCAAAAAAACAAAAACAAACCCTAAACCCTAAACCCTAAACCCTAAACCCTAACCCCTAACCCCTAAACCCTAAACCCTAAACCCTAAACCCTAAACCCTAAACCCTAAACCCTAAACCCTAAACCCTAAACCCTAAACCCTAAACCCTAAGCCCAACAAAATCCCTGAAGTCCGCTCGTCTCACTCCCTGGAGGCCTCCTAAGCTCGCGCAGCAAAGACGAGCTGGCCGAGTTCATCCTCATGGAGCGCGTGAGGCGCAGCTGGAGCTTCCTGAGGGTTCCGCGAGAGCAACTGTCGGGCTCTTTGCAGGGCTGAGGGTGCTAGGAACATATGGTTATGGTGGGCGTGCAATTTTTCGGGTGTAAGAGAGCGTAGGGTTTAGGTTTTGCTGAGGGCTTGGGGTCCGGTTAGGATTTTGGGTGGTTTAGAGGCATTAGGGATGTGGATCAGGGCTGGGTTTGTCTGCTTAGAGCCTTTTTGTGGTCTGCGCCAAACCCTTTTGGAAAGGATCTGCTTGAATGGATACCATGAACCCGAAAAAACCCAATTTCGGATTGCAGTCCTGCCCTGTAAAGGCCAGCTGCAGTGGGTCGGGGTTTCGGGCCGAGGGGGCTCGGGATGCTTTCATGGCGCCTTCAGCAAAGCTCCTTCTTTTGTGTAGTGTTCTTATGGCTTTAGGCATCATTGAAGACTGAACCCCAAACCCCAAAACCCCTAAACCCCTAAAACCCTAAACCCGCTGACGTTGCCCGCCAGGCCACCCACGACTCCCTCCGCTTTGCTGGATGCCGCCGGCAAACCCGTCGTGCGCGACGCTGCGGCTGGGCGTGGTCAAGAACAAGATTTTTGGGTTTTTCGGGTTTTGGGGGGGTTTTTGGGGTTTTTGGTTTTTTGGCAGTTTTTGAAGGTTTTCGGGCGGTTTTGGTTGTGTGGAGGGTTTTGAGGCTTGGTTTTTAGGTTTTAGGTTCAACAACCCTTTAAAACAAACCTAAACCCTAAACCCTAAACCCTAAACCCTAAACCCTAAACCCTAAACCCTAAACCCTAAAACCTAAACCCTAAACCCTAAACCCTAAACCCTAAACCCCAAACCCCAAACCCGAAACCCGAAACCCTAAACCCTAAACCCTAAACCCTACACCCCCTTCGGCTCAGGTGGCGGAGCTGGGCATCTTCGGCACCTTTGTGGCCGACGGCGACCGCGTGCGGCGCAACGAGGCCCAAGGGGTGTGCGGCACGTGCCCGCCCCTGAAGCAGGGAGCGTTGAAGGCTTAGGGTTTTCAGGTGTTATAGGGGTTTTAGGGTTGTATGAGATTTTAGGGTTTTTAGGGTTTTAAGGGTTTTCAGGGTTTTCAGGGTTTTTAAGGTTTATAGGGTTTATAGGGTTTATAGGGTTTATAGGGTTTATAGGGTTTATAGGCTTTATAGGCTTTATAGGGTTTATAGGGTTTATAGGGTTTATAGGGTTTATAATTAGGGTTTATAGGGTTTATGGGGTTTTATTGGGTTTATAGGATTTATAGGCTTTATAGGCTTTATAGGGTTTATAGGGTTTATATAGGGTATATAGCATGTAAGGGCCGCAAGAGAGTGAAAGTTCGGGGCTGACGGTTTAGGGTTTGGGGTGTTCAAGGTTTGGGGGTTACGGTTGAGGGTTTGGGTTTTGGGTTTACGGTTTAGGGCTTGGGGTTTAGGGCTTGGGGTTTAGGGCTTTGGGGTTTAGGGCTTTGGGGTTTTGGGGTTTTGGGGTTTTGGGGTTTTGGGGTTTTGGGGTTTTGGGGTTTTGGGGTTTTGGGGTTTGGGGTTTTGGGGTTTGAGGGTTGGGCTACCCCGCTGCAAGGCAGCTGGCCACCTTGTGCGCTCGAAGGGCCAGAGACATGCCTGCAACAAGACCTTGGGGCTTTTTGGGTTTGGGTTTTTGGGTTGGTTTTAGGGGTTTAGGGTCTCAAAGTTTTAGGGTTAGGGTTTAGGCTTTTGGCTTCAGCTTCGGGCCTGGGGTTTTGGACTACTGATGCCCAGTTTTCATTCTACCAAGAGTCGCCCTGAACCTTGAACCCTGCAAGCCCTAAACCAGACCTCCGCAAGCCCGTGAACTCTTCAAACCTTAAAAGCTTGAACTCTTAAACCCTTGAACCCCAAAGCCTTAAACCCAGAAACCATTGAACCGTTAAGCCCTTACACCCAACTGAAGCCCAAACAGCTTAGGGGCTTATGGGGTATGGGGTTTAGGGGGTTTGTGGTTCTAAACCGCCTAAACCCAAAACCCAAAACCTTAAACCTTAACCTAAATCCGAAGCTGCCTGCTTGGCCCAAGGAAGACAAACCAGGGCGGCGTCTTCGTGGGGAACGCGGGCGCCCCCAGAAATGCAAGAGAGCGCCACGAAGATTTCTAAGCCAAGTGGGTCTAGGGTGGGTTTAGGGTTTATTGGGTAGGGTTTGTAGGGTCAATATAGGGTTTAGTGTTTCGGGTTGTTCGGGTTATGGGTTATAAGCCCTAGATGAGCTATAAAAGCTGTAGAGGGCTTCAGGGCCCTCTAAGCCGCGGTTTGCCGAGGCGACCGTAGACGTGCCGTTCCTGGTGCCCAGTGACCTGTTCTGGAGCAGCGTGAACTCTGAGAAGGCTTAGGGTTTAGCAAGTAAAGGCTTAGGACCAATTGGTTCAGAGCTGGACATTTCGAGGGGGGCTTCCAGGCTGTAGGGTCAATGTTTTTGGGGGCCCCTCAGCCCTTCAAATTTGAACTCCAACCCTCAACCCTAAACCCTGAATATCCCGAAGCCCTAACCTTAAACGCGAGAATTTCTACTCATGGTGCTGGTCTGTTGAGACACCCGCCTGCGTGCCGACCGGCGTGCAATCGCTTCAAAAGCCTGGCACGGGGATTAAGGTTCAAGGTTATAGGGTTCAGGGTTTAGGGTTTAAGGTTATAGGGTTTATAGGGTTTAAGGTTATAGTGGTTTAGGGTTTTGGGCAGAGTTTAGGATTGAGGAGCTTGCAGCGGGAATGCCTCATCTTCCCCACTTTCTCTTCTGAAGCGCTGCCGGAAGCCGGTTGCGCTGAAACGCCAGTCTTCCCAAACGGGGCCCAGCTTACTGCCAACCCTGTAAGGCTGCCTCTGAGGGTTCACAGGGTGTTCAAACCTTACCTGAAGATTCAGGAATGGCTATAAGTAGGGTTGGAAGGTGTCCGAACAAGATGATTGCTACAGTTGACATACTTATAACTTTTCTTATACGTGCCCATGCTAAGCAATCCTGAGTTTGCCTTCCCGACTGCAAAGCTCGCTTGCAGCCTCCACTCTGGGCTTTGCCTGCGAAGTTAGAGAGGGTCTAGGGCCTCGTATTTTGGGGGGATATAATAAGGAGATCAGGAGATCCCCTATTTCGGGAATGCCCATACAGACCCAAGATACAGCGCAAACCTAAACTCCTCACACTCTACTCCCTTAAAGCTCAAAAAACCCAAAAACTTGCAAAACCCCAGAACTCCCAAACCACACTTCCCCAAAGCCCCAAACCCCCACTTCCCCGAAACCCCCGCTTCCCCTAAACTTCCCCCCCTTCCCCCCCAACCCTAGACCCTGCAGCCTAAACCCAAACTCTAAACCCTACACCAAAACCCCTGAGCGGCCTTCGCCATGCTTTGGGGCGCTGCCGGGCGCACGCCCGCGCTGGCCCGCGGGCTCCGGTGGCTCGGGCGCCAGCGGTCCTGGAAGGCTTGGCCTTGGAGATGGCATGTAGGGTTTAGGGGGTTTAGGGTTAGGGGGTTTAAGGGGTTTAGGGGGTTTAGGGGGTTTAGGGGGTTTAGGGGGTTTAGGGGGTTTAGGGGGTTTAGGGGGTTTAGGGGGTTTAGGGGGTTTAGGGGGTTTAGGGGGTTTAGGGGGTTTAGGGGGTTTAGGGGGTTTAGGGGGATTAGGGGGTTTAGGGGGATTTATGCGGATTTAGGGGGCTTCAGGGTTTAGGGTTCAGGGGCTTGGGGGTTTAAAGGGCTTAGGGGTGTAGGGGGTTTTGGGGTTTTGTGGTTTGGGGGAACTAAGGTTTGGGGTTAAGGGCTTAGGAGGGGTTACGTAGGGTTCAGCAGTATTGGCCCCAAACCCTAAACCCTAAACCCCAAACCCTAAAAGCCCTATAAACCCCATAAACCCTTTTAGCCCTATAAACCCGAAACAGCAGCGCAAGGCTTGGCCGGGCAGCCCAAGCGTGGTCCCTGGCAGTCATGAGGCCAGCGCCCACTGCGGCGCTCGGGGTTTTAAGAGGTTTGCCCTGAAGGCCGAACTTGAAAGCCTGGTGCTCAGCAAGGTTGCGTCGCTTTTTTGGGGTGTTTACTAGGGTACGGTGGGAGAGGCACCTGTCAATGTTCTTGTCACCACCCTAAACCTATAGGAAGATATTCGGACACGCACCTTCATCCGTGGCAAGGCACTCGACTTCTTGCAGGGCCAGAGCTCGCCTCAGACCTTGGGGCGGCGAAGTCAAGGGCCCTTAGACTTCCTGTTCGAGGACGAGTCGAGCTCCAGTAGATGCCAGCAACTTCTGCCCCGGAATAGGTGGGATGTTCGTGAAGACCGCAATGCCACTGCACATTTTGCGCAAGAGTGGCGAGAAGCAACTGAGTCGATGAAGCCTGGCATTCCTGCAGCTGTCCGTTGCCCAGCAAGGCCTCCAGACTGGGATGGGGACGCGGACAGTCGGCACAGAGCACTGCTGCAGTCGCTGGGTGAAGAAGAGGTTGACGAAGGCGATCTCACTCTGTCCACGCTGGCGCAGCCCTCCCCTGCATCAACAGCATCCGCGCTGACTTCAATCGGCAGTGATTTCACTGCCTTGGCTTCGCATGCAGACTGGGATGGAGACGTGGACAGTCGGCACAGAGCACTGTTGCAGGCGCTGGGTGAAGAAGAGGTTGATGAGGGCGATCTCACTCCGTCCACGCTGGCGCAGCCTTCCCCTGCATCAACAGCATCCGCGGTGACCTCAATCGGCACTGATTTCACTGCCTTGGCTTCGCATGCAGACTGGGATGGAGACGCGGACAGTCGGCACAGAGCACTGTTGAAGGCGCTGGGTGAAGAAGAGGTTGACGAGGGCGATCTCACTCTGTCCACGCTGGCGCAGACTTCCCCTGCATCAACAGCATCCGCGGCGACCTCAATCGGCAGTGATTTCGCTGCCTTGGCTTCGCATGCAGACTGGGATGGAGACACGGACAGTCGGCACAGAGCACTCTTGCAGGCGCTGGGTGAAGAAGAGGTTGACGGGGGCGATCTCACTCTGTCCACGCTGGCGCAGCCCTCCCCTGCATCAACAGCATCCGAGGTGACCTCAATCGGCAGTGATTTCACTGCCTTGGCTTCGCATGCAGACTGGGATGGAGACGCGGACAGTCGGCACAGAGCACTGTTGCAGGCGCTGGGTGAAGAAGAGGTTGACGAGGGCGATCTCACTCTGTCCACGCTGGCGCAGCCTTCCCCTGCATCAACAGCATCCGCGGCGACCTCGATCGGCAGTGATTTCACTGCCTTGGCTTCGCATGCAGACTGGGATGGAGACGCGGACAGTCGGCACAGAGCACTGTTGCAGGCGCTGGGTGAAGAAGAGGTTGACGGGGGCGATTTCACTCTGTCCACGCTGGCGCAGCCCTCCCCTGCATCAACAGCATCCGTGGTGACCTCAATCGGCAGTGATTTCACTGCCTTGGCTTCGCATGCAGACTGGGATGGAGACGCGGACAGTCGGCACAGAGCACTGTTGCAGGTGCTCGGTGAAGAAGAGGTTGACGAGGGCGATCTCACTCTGTCCACGCTGGCGCAGCCTTCCCCTGCATCAACAGCATCCGCGGCGACCTCAATCGGTAGTGATTTCACTGCCTTGGCTTCGCATGCAGACTGGGATGGAGACGCGGACAGTCGGCACAGAGCACTGTTGCAGGCGCTGGGTGAAGAAGAGGTTGACGGGGGCGATCTCACTCTGTCCACGCTGGCGCAGCCCTCCCCTGCATCAACAGCATCCGTGGTGACCTCAATCGGCAGTGATTTCACTGCCTTGGCTTCGCATGCAGACTGGGATGGAGACGCGGACAGTCGGCACAGAGCACTGTTGCAGGCGCTGGGTGAAGAAGAGGTTGACGAGGGCGATCTCACTCTGTCCACGCTAGCGCAGCCCTCCCCTGCGTCAACAGCATCCGTTGTGACCTCAATCGGGAGTGATTTCACTGCCTTGGCTTCGCATGCAGACTGGGATGGAGATGCGGACAGTCGGCACAGAGCACTGTTGCAGGCGCTGGGTGAAGAAGAGGTTGACGAGGGCGATCTCACTCTTTCCACGCTGGCGCAGCCTTCCCCTGCATCAACAGCATCCGCGGTGACCTCAATCGGCACTGATTTCACTGCCTTGGCTTCGCATGCAGACTGGGATGGAGACGCGGACAGTCGGCACAGAGCACTGTTGCAGGCGCTGGGTGAAGAAGAGGTTGACGGGGGCGATTTGACTCTGTCCACGCTGGCGCAGCCCTCCCCTGCATCAACAGCATCCGCGGCGACCTCAATCGGCAGTGATTTCACTGCCTTGGCTTCGCATGGAGACGCGGACAGTCGGCACAGAGCACTGTTGCAGGCGCTGGGTGAAGAAGAGGTTGACGAGGGCGATCTCACTCTGTCCACGCTGGCGCAGCCTTCCCCTGCATCAACAGCATCCGCGGCGACCTCAATCGGCAGTGATTTCACTGCCTTGGCTTCGCATGCAGACTGGGATGGAGACGCGGACAGTCGGCACAGAGCACTCTTGCAGGCACTGGGTGAAGAAGAGCCCCTCTAAGCTGCCATGGGTGGCCACTCTGTTTGTTGCAGATCGCCCAGAATGACTGGTGACTGTAGGCGCCGGGGCTTGGGATCACCACAGGTTGGGACTTTCGGGTTTAAAGTGTTGGGGTTTAGGGACCAGGGTTCAGTTTAGGGTTTAGGGTTCAGGATTTAGGGTTGAGGGTTAGGGTTTAGGGTTCAGGGTTTACGGTTTAGGGTTTAGGGTTTATGAAGGGTTGAGGGTGTAAGTTTGAGAGTCGAGACGATGTCAGGTGCGAGCTGTCAGTGCACGAACACCTGTGGGAGGCTCCGAGCTGTCCGAAGCCTTGAAGGCCGGTTTAGGGTTTAGGGTTTAGGGTTTGGGGTTTGGGATTTAGGGTTTAGAGTTTTAAGGGTTAAGGGTTTGGGGTTTAGGGTTTAGGGTTTAGGGTTTAGGACTTACAGGGGGCTTATAGGGTTTTAGGGTTAAAGGGCTTTGGGTTTACAAGGGTTTATGGGGTTTTGTAGGGTTTATAGGGTTGAGGGTGCTGTCTGTCTCGCTGCTTAAAGGGGGGAGGGAGGGCGTAGTGTCCCAAATTATGCATCGAAGTCTCAGGTCAGGTGAAAGCCGACTTTTCACGAAACTGGCAGCCCTTCTCCCTAAACCCTAAACTATCCCTAAACTCCTAAACCCTATAAACCCTAAGCCGTATAAGCCCGAAACCCGAACCTTAAGCCTTAAAGCTGAAACCGGTGATCCCCTTGCCATTAGAAAGTCTGCCCGCGCAGAAGCCTGGGAACAGGCCAAGACCCCTTGCGGCAACCTTTGAGCCCTGAGCCCATGTCAAAGACACCATACCTCAGGAACCTAAAGCCTACTTGTTGCAGGTAACATAAGAATTCTAGAAGGGCTCGAGAATCGCCCATGAAAGTAGGTTTAGGCTTCTTAAGGCATAAGAGAGAGAGCCGGCTTGGTCCATGAGTCAGTGTCCTCCACGAATAGCTGGCCTGGTGTGGGCGAGTGGCATGTGACAGGTTGCGTGCACAACGTGATCTTGGCATCTGGCATCATGGCCCACCACGCAGGCGCAAGCTTCATGGTTTGCGAGACCATCTCTTCATGAAAGGGTTCCTAATTAAACAAGAAGGACTAAAGTGTTTTCGAGAATCTTCGCAGGAGCCCTAGCTTTGGGAAACGCCGAAATCATGGGGAAACACCCAAATCATGACCGTGACTCACGCAAACCTGCAACGTCACAAGCCCGCGCAGTCGCCACGACCTGATAGTTGAAGCCCCTAAGCCCTGTAAACTCTAAACCTTCTAAACCCTAAAGCCTTGGACTCCAAATCCTATACAATCTGAACACTAGCTACGCCCAGGCCCTGTTGAGGTTTCTGTCAGCTTCAGCTTGACGAATCAACCCCTTTGAAATCTTGCATGGCTCTGAGGGGTTTAGAGAGTTGAGGGGTTAGGGGATACAGGGGTGTTAAAACCTGAGTCGCAACCTTAGAGCAAGATATTTCTTGTTTCGGGTTCTTCCGCCGCGCAGCTTACAGGGGCTTATACAGGATTTTGAGGACTTAGGCTCTTGTGTTGGGGCCCCTTACTGGTGATTAGTGGAGCCGGCCTGGGGTTGCTCCGTGAAGCCCAAGAGGCTTCCGAGCCCAAGGGAGGTCCAAAGCCCTGCCCTTTGGCGGTTCTTAGGGTAGGGAGTGCAGTCGAATAAGGGTCCTCAGCAATCCCTTTAAGGGTGAGAGCGGGGATGACGCCATGATCCCAGAAAGGGTATATTTGGGGGGGGGGGGGGTGGGGGGTGGTGGGTTATGGAGCACTTACTTCCCTCCCCTACTCAAGAGCCAGCAAGCAAATAGAAGGAGCAGACCTATCAATGTGCGTAATTCAGAAGCAGACACTAAACCCTAAACCCTGCTACAGAGTAAAGACTGCTTGCATCGCCTCTATACCTGCGGGGTGAAATTGCGGTTTTGAAGCCGACCCTTCCGAAGACGATATGAAGGCACTCAGCCCAGCGAGACCGTTTCAGCCACTCAGCCCATCAAAAGCTCAGAAGTGCTTTCTCCGAAGCTTTTTGAGGATCGTGGAGCTGGCGTGGAAGATGGGCGCGGAGTCGCTGCGCGCCAAGGCGCGCAACATGACCTTGATGCTGAAGCTTGAGTTGCATTGTTTAACGCCTGCCTAATTCTCTGTGACGCTTTGACCTAGAAGTGTTTTGCGCAGATGTTTGCGTAAAGTTCGTGCGGTCTCAGGGCTGTGAAGGGCATCTTCTGCAAGTCCCGTTTAAGAGAGGTGCGCATGCGCGAGCCCGGCTCAGAGACAGGAATTTCCCGGAGAGAGCCCGCCCGCTGCCCACACTAAACAAGGTGCTCCTTTTCCTTCTCGAGATCGCCCTAATGCCGTATCTCTACGAGCTGACCGCGGTCCCGGCCGGCTGGCCCCTGGAGACCGTCCTCGACGCCTTCGTGCACTTGGCGTCGTACGACCCTGCTCGTGCCGATGTGCAGCGCGCCCTCAAGGCCGTGGAGGCGCGGGCCGTGGAGCTCTGGGCCGCGCGGCCGGCGGAGGCGGCGGCCTGGCGCGGTCTGAACGAGGACCGCTCCCAGGAGCGGCTCGCCGAGCTGCTCCTCCAGCACGCGCGGAGCGAGCGGAGCCGGTGCTTCGTCAACTCCTTCTCGGAGGCGGGGCTGAAGCGAGAGGCTTGGAATTCGACGCTTTCGCCGGTGAGGGAGGCTCAAGCCCGCCCTCGCTGCTCGGAGCTCGCTGGGCGGCTGGCAGCGGCCGAGGCGGAAGCCGAGGAGACGGCGCGGAAGCGGCAGAGATTGGAGGAGAGGGGGCGGGAGGAGCCGCTGCGGGAGGAGAAGAGGCAGCTCGCCGAGCGCCTGGAAGCCGCCGAAGCGGAGAACGCACATCTCGGCGCCAGCTTGGAGGCAGTGGAGGCGGCAAGTGCCGAGAAGCAGCGGGAGCTCCAAGCCGCGAGGCACCAGAGCGAGCTGCTCACGGAGCGCCTGGCGGCGGCAGAAGCAGCGGTGGCGGACAAGGCGCGTGAGCTTCAAGCTGCGCAAGATGAGGGTGCCGCACAGAAGGAGCAGCGCGAGCAGCTTGCGCGTCACTTAGAGGCATCACAGGCCGAGGCATCAGGCATGCAGAGTGATATGCACAGGCTTCAGCACGAGTGTGACAAGCACAAGGAGTTCTCCACGCAGCTATCAAATCGCTTGGCCGTTTCCGGAAACAAGTCAGATTTGCAGACCCTGCTGCTGGAAAATGCAGTGTACAAGGATCGCTGTGAGCAGCTAACCAAGCAGCTGACCAAAGCGGAGGAGAAGTTAGGCCAGATGCATGAGGAGAAGGGTGCGTACAAGGAGCGCTGCCGTCAGCTGGCGTGCCAGCTTGCTGAGGCGAAAGGCTTGCCCCCGATTCAGGCCACCTTTGCCAGCCACGGCCCCCCGAATCTCCCCAAAGATGCCTCCAGCCCTGCGTTGAACCTCGCCGAGGAGATGGGGTACACGCTGGTCCAGACTGAGGGCGAGGGCAATGCTGGCAAGGCCGGCAATGCCGCCTCGACGGTCCGCTCGTCAGGGTTCTCCGTCCAGCCGGGCTGTTTCATGCTGGACGCCGTCTTCCAGTGCCGCAGCTCCCTCATGGACTTTTATCTCACAGGCAAGGACCTGCGGAAGGGCTCGCAAGTGGTGGCCGGGGACGGCGAGAACATGCTGGAGGTGGTGGACATCTCGAAAGGCCGAGCCACAGAGGTCGTCAGCTTGGAGGCCGGGGCTGCGACGTTGCGGGTCACCCCGGACCATCCCGTGCAGGTGCCCGATAAGAAGGGGGAGGTGGCAGAGATTCTCTACCAGGCGGCTGGGAAACTGGCGGCGGGTGACCTGGTCATCCTCGATTCCGGGGCGCCCGCTTCCCTCACAAGCGTCCACACCGAGCCCAACGAGTGCGAGGTGCTGAAGGTCGTCTTCGAGCCGGACCTGCCCGTGGCCGTCTTCTCCCGCCCGCCCTGCATCCTCAGCAAGGGCCAGGCGAACAAGCCGCCTCGCCGCGGCGGGATGTGCCGGCGGGGCCAGGCCGACGAGACGGCCTCCATTCCCGATACTGCGGCCGGGGAGTACATGGACTGAGCCTTTAGGACATGCTGGCTCCGCGAGCTTAAGCTCGTTCCCATCCTTGTCCTGAGTCATTCTGAAGCGCGGAGCACGCTGTCCAAGTTTACACAAGGCCTCTGATGAGTAACTTGAATAAAGTTGGTGGACATAGGTGTGCAGATAATTGCCATGTAGCCTTTGCAGGGAAAGCAGGCGAGCAGTCATACCCATGAGCAGCCATGTCATAAGCAGGATGTAACCTTGGATTTGCAGTGCCCGCGCGTCAGTGGTTTCAATCTTCCGCGGCTCGGCTCACAAGCTTTGGCTCCCCCTTGGCGCCGCAGGGGAGCGGCCTCAGGAAGGGGGGGGGGGGGTGGGGCAGCCGACGTAGAGCTCCTCAGGCGCATAGCATCTTCAGCGTCAGCATCCACAGGAAAGATCATATGGATGTACCACGATTTGGCCCCTCCCTTGAGGGGGCCCCCCTCCCATCTGAGCCGCTCCATGCTATTTTGTGAGGCTCTTGAGAAGGCTTTGCTTATAACCCATTCCGACATTGCATCCGTATCCCGTATACGTTCAAGAAGTATATGTATCAAGGACAGCAAGATAGCAACACGAGGGCGAGAGCTCTCCGACTGCCGGTGGCTTCCTGAGCGCGCATAGGCCCAGGCATGCATGTAAAAGAAGGGCACCTCCTCCGCATGCGGGGCATAAGATGGGCCAGCGACCAGCCTTGTAACCGTATTTCCTACTTTACTTTGCATACATTCTCTTTTTGATATTTCACATGATATATTTGTATATTCGTATATATATATATATATAGATATATACACATGTATATATATATAATATATATATATATATACATATATATATATATATTATACATACATGAAAATGTGTGTGTGTGTGCGCGCGTGGGTTACACTGAGTTTGTTGTGCTGTATGTTGTTGTATATGACTACATCTTACACATGCTCAGCTATGAACTTTCATTGACAACACCTTGACTTCCGGAGCCTTCGTTGCCGCGCCGTCGCCGGCGCCCGGCGCTGTAAGCAGCCACTCCTTGGCATGAGAAGCCTGGAGCCCCCCTTGCAATTGTCTGACCTTATCTATCTTACTTTTATCTGATATGATCTTATCTGATATTGTCTGACCTTACCCTTTGTTACAGATACATCCGCAGAGATATCGTATCACTTCATGCCATGTCATCTCATATTGTACCATATTCCCTTTCTTGTGCATCCTTATCTCTTAGAAAGCCGAGCTCCCGAAAGGACTTCAGGCCTCTGACCCGGTCTGACCCTGAAGGCCCCAGCCCCCCCACATCCAAAACACGCAGTCTTGTTGCCGCGCAGGCGAAGGCGAAGATGAGAACAACGGCTCCCTTCAGCGCCGCCGTCGCCGGCGCTGTGAGCAGCCACTCCTCGGCGTGAGAAGTGAAAACCCCCCTTCTACTTGACAATAATACGGTTGTATTTTGTTTTTTGTCTGATAGTTTGTTGCAGATACATCCGCAGATATATCATCTCACATCATGCGCCATGTTATCTCATGTCGTACCTTTTTTCCCTTTTTTGTGCATCTTTATCCCTGAGCCGAGCTCCCTGGAGGACTTCAGGCCTCTGCTCCTGAAAGCCCCAACCCCCCAAAACCCCCAAAAAAGTCGCAGTCTACTGGCGGCTGTGGGTACTCGTAGGGGGGAAGGTAGGCGAGGGTAGGCAGATAGGCAAGGGGAGAGTACTGTGCATACTTGTGGGTGAGTTGTTTGGGGGGGTTCATGACAACTCCTACAGCCCCTCCCCCCACCCCCCCCCCCCCCCCCCGCAGCAAGAAGCACACAAAAGCTTCCCCAAACCCTGAAGCCTAAACCCTAAAGTGGCCCTAAACCCTGAATCCTGAACCCTAAACCCTGAACCCAAAACCCTCAAAACCCCTCAAAGCCCTACGTCTTCAAAAACCTAAGCCTGCACACCCAAAAAGCCACCAGCTCCGTCCCTCCCCCCCCTCCCCCCTGAGGTCGAGGCTGTGGAGATGCGGCCGCGACGGAAGCCATGAGCTGCCAAAAGCAAACAAGTGGGTTTGGGGTTTAGGGTTTAGGGTTTAGGGTTTGGGGTTTAGGGTTTGGGGTTTCGGGTTTGGGCTTTGGGCTTCCGGGTTGACAGGGTTGGGTTTAGGGTTTCGGGGTTTTAGGGGTTTAGGGTTTAGGCTTGACAGCTCGGGTTCCGGGTTTAACTACCAGTGTTTGGGGTTTTACAGGGTTTTGGGGTTTCTAGGTTCATGTTGCGCATGCGGGGGATTTGGTGCCTCTTGGGAGCAAGGAGCGAAATCTGAGCGCAGAGTCGCCCCTAAAGGGTTTTAGGGCTTAGGGCTTAGGGGGCCAAAATGTATCCTGACAAAGGGACTATGACAGCACATAGGGGGTTTTTAAGGGGTTGTGTGACAGTTGAGGGTTTTTAGGTTCCGAACGTATCCTAAACAGCACTATTCATGGTAGTATGGTCCCAATCTTCGGGTTCGTTTGCTCCCCAATTCCAATGGTCTTACATCCTCGGACCCTCCAAGCCGGAAGCCGCAGCAGCTGCAGCACTTCGGCTCGCAGCCGACATAAATTCGGACCCTGCGACTTCCTTCAACCCTAAAACTCCCAAATTCCTGAACCTTGGGTCTGCAACAGGGTTAGAACCGCAAACCCTGCCTTTCAAACCCTCACCCTAAACCCTCGAACCCTAAACGCTAAACCCTAAACCCTCAACTTTCCTAAGGCCTAAACACTAAACCCTAAACTTTCCTAAGCCCTAAACCCTCAGCCCTAAACCCAAACCCTCCCCCCGCTCGCCCCCTCTTCTAGCACCTCGTGCGCCCGCGATGGATCGCCAGCCCCTGCAGATCGAGCAAGACGACGGCGGCTCGAGGCATGCGGTTTAGGGTTTGGGGTTTAGGGTTTAGGGCTTAGGGCTTAGGGTTTAGGGCTTAGGGCTGAGGGCTTAGGGGAGGGCGTTTTCGAATGTTCTTTTGCTCATCGGGTGTCGTACATGGCGTTGTGGGATCATGGGGTATATATGGGGTTCGCAATAGTTAAGGCTAAGGGTTATAGGGCTTACAGGGCTTGTCTAGGGTTTATCCGGGGTTTGTAGGGTTTATGGGGTTTATAGGATGTACTTGGCCCTAAACCCTAAACCCTAAACCCTAAACCCTAAACCCTAAACCCTAAACCCTAAACCCTAAACCCTAAACCCTAAACCCTTAACCCTTAACCCTTAACCCTTAACCCTTAACCCTTAACCCTTAACCCTTAACCTAAACCCTAAGGTCTAGGGTCCACAGCCTTTACTGGGTTTAAAGGTGGTTCCTGTGGAGCCTTGAGCGTCACGCAACGGCCACGCGTGCTCAGAAATGACCGCTGAACCTCAAATGTGCAGCAACCTACTTTCGACTGTGGGGTTATATGATTCCTCATAGAATTTTAAGGGTATATCTTACTCTTTTTTGCGGGTTATGTGGCCAAAGAATTTTCTAGGGTATGACTTACTCTTTCTTCTGGGGTTGTATGACCCCTCATAGAATTTGTTTGGGTAAGCAGCAAGGAAAGTATAGCGCTTTTGGGGGTTCTGAAGTCGTAACTTCTTACCTCGCAAAGGCTTCGACCCCAAAAGGGGACTTCGGACTTCGCAGGGTCGAACATCCTTGGGGACGAAATGAACCCTAATTTGAGGTCATATACCCAATTACTACTTTAACTCCGATTACCCCTAAACCCTGAACCTTACACCCTAAACCCTAAACCCTAAACCCTAAACCCTAAACCCTAAACCCTAAACCCTAAACCCTAAACCCTAAACTACGCCCTAAACCCTAAGCCCTTTTTAGGGTTAAAGGCTCGGGCTCGGCGCCGTGGTCGGCGCCGTCGTTCTTGTAGGGCTCATGTAGGACCTTTCGGGTGGGTGGAAGTACGGCTCAATAGGGGCTAGGAATATGTGGGGTCATACGGCTTCAGGCTTATAGGGCTTCAGGGTGGTTAGAGGTTAGTGTGGAATCTGCCCTAGGACCAGGATCCACGAAGTATTGGGTTCATTTAGGAACTTGCTGGAGTCCTCCCTCCCCTCCTGCTCGCCAGGAGAAATGTCTTCCTTGGCCACGAGTTCGTGGACGAGGCGCGGGGCTCCCTGAACGTGGCAGCGGAGGGAAGTCGGCTCCCCCAATATGCAGGATCCACTTTCCTGGGCTTCTGGGGCTTCGGGAGTTACCCTAAACCCTAAACCCTAAAACCCTAAACCCTAAACCCTAAACCCTAAACCCTAAACCCTAAACCCTAAACCCTAAACCCTAAACCCTAAACCCTAAAACCCTAAACCCTAAACCCGAAGCCCTAAGCCCTAAACCCTAAACCCCAAACCGCGGCTTCATCCTGGGAGTGCGCCCTCGAAAGCTCGGGTCGCGGAATCCTCTGCCACCTTCCAGCCTCTGAGAGAGTCTTACCGGTACATGGAACTTTAGGGTTATTAGGATTAATTATTAGGGTTTAGGGTTTAGGGTTTAGGGTTTAGGGTTTAGGGTTATTAGGGTTTAGGGTTTAGGGTTTTATAGGGTTAGAACACCTGAGCCCGAACCCATGAACAGACCTGGGACCCTCTTAACCTGTAGATTTATGGGCTATACCTATACTACTCAAGGGTATTTACTACTAAACTAAACTACCTACGAATTAAGGGGATTTATTGCTAAACTGTAGGAATAGAGGGTCCCAGGGACGCTGTAGGACAAAGAAGGCCGGCCATAAGAGCCCAGCGCCTAGTTACTTTGTAGGTTTAGGGTTTGGGGTTTAGGGTTTAGGGTTTGGGGTTCAGGGTTTAGGGTGCCTAAGAATTCTACAAGGGGGTTTAAACTGAGACCGTCCCGGGCCATCGGCAAATCGGAACGGGAGGGCTGAGGAGGCTGTCAATTCTTGAGTTCTTGGAGGTTATCGCACGGCTATAAGTATGGCCACTATGCTTCTAACCCTTTGCAGGGTACTTCTAACCCGACCTATAAGTACCCATGAACGTCCAAGTATGAATGGACCCTAAACCCTAAACCCAAAACCCGAAACCCGAAACCCGAAACCCGAAACCCGAAACCCTAAACCCGAAACCCTAAACCCTAAACCCTAAACCCTAAACCCTAAACCCTAAACCCTAAACCCTAAACCCTAAACCCTAACCCTAAACCCTAAACCCTAAACCCTAAACCGACCCTGGGTGCACATGGTTTAGGGTGGAAGTTGTTGAGATGCCCCCACTAACCCCTAAACCCGAAACCCCAATTAAAGGGTCGGAATCATTACCGACAGTATGCCCTTATGGGCCCCTTTATGAATACACTATACGCGCCGCACCCCAAAACCCTATTCTAACCATTCAGGCCCCTCTATTCGGTTTAGGGCTTAGGGCTTAGGGTTTAGGGTTTAGGGTTTAGGGTTTAGGGTTTAGGGTTTAGGGTTTAGGGTTTAGGGTTTAGGGTTTAGGGTTTAGGGTTTAGGGTTTAGGGTTTAGGGTTTAGGGTTTGGGGTACTCGAACCCCAGCAGCAGGACACAACGCAGCACGTGCGCAGCGTGATCCTGGCGTCTGGGATCATGGCCGGCACGCAGGCGCGCAGCTCGGTGTGAAGCGGTTTAGGGTTTAGGGTTTAGGGTTTAGGGTTTAGGGTTTAGGCTCTCTCTCTCTCTCTCTTCAGTTTACAGTTTTCCTGTTTCTTATATTCATCTTCAAAGCTATACAATGATACTCATCAATGGGCAATACGAAGACAAACATCATGAAGTGCATGTACAAGAAAACAGGTAAACACACAACCCAGCAGTACATTACGCACGAAACCAAATAGGGCTATCAGCATGCAATATGAAGGAATGTTCGTACCTGTCAATCAGGTCCTGGATTCCCTTTTCAGTTTGATCTTAGGGCTTTAGGTTGTTTTAAAACAAATAGGCCCCAAACCCCCTTAATTCTAGAAACCCCACACTCTCAACCCCAAACCCTATGAACCCCAAACCCCCTTGACCCTAGAAACCCCCAAACCCTAAACCCGTACAGGCCCTATCAGCCCACAGAGCCCTAAACTCTAAACCCGATCCCCCCTAAACCCTGGAAACCCCAAACCTTATATAAACCCTAAAACACACACCCCAAACCCCAAACCCGAAGCAAACCCCAAACCCGAAACCCTAAGCCCTAAACCCTAAACCCACCAAAACCCACCAAAACCCAAAATCTCGGGGGGGGGGGGGCAGGTGCTGTCGCTGCTGCTGTCCTTCTCCTCGGGCCGGCATCTGGCCGGCGCGTGGGGCCCCTGAGAGCCACGCGCGCTTTTTTTTGGGGGGGGGGGGGGGGCACTGTATCGGAAGAAGAGAAGGGGGGGTGGGTTCCTTGTAGGGAGTTTAAGGGCTTCTAGAGGTTAAACCAGGAACTACAGGTGTTCTTGGGGGGGGTCAGAGGGAGGAAGTTGAGCCCGGACAGGGTGGAAGAAAGGGAAGAAACCCTAAACCCTAAACCCTAAACCCTAAACCCTGAACCCTAAACCCTAAACCCTAAATCCTACAGTCGCTCTGCTTGCCGCGCTTGCCTTGAGGTTTGTGAACTTCGTGATCGGCATGATCCTGCCCGGGTGCGGGTGCGCCGGGAGCTGCCGTCGAACCCCATGTACAGTAAACTCCGGAAAGTTAGAACATGGCTGAAGGATGTTTAGAGCTTGGATTCCCTTTAGTATGCCTCTTGGGGTGTGGGGTTAAAGATGTTCCAACTTTATGGAGTTTGCTGCATGAAGCTAGAGTTCCCATGGGACGTTTCAAGGGTTCGGGGTGGTACTCATGCGTAAGGCGCGTTTAGAGAAGACCTGAAGGACTCCAGCTGCACTCTAGTTTCAGATCGCCATGTCCATTCTCTCGATTGTCAATCTGGCGATGATGAAAGGAGCTTGGCGGAGTAAGTAGCGATCATCGTCCGCCCTGTTGCCTGCGGTGCACTATGCTTGGGTGAAGTGGCTCCTGATTCTTGCAAGCAGGCTGCCAAGGGAAGAAGCGAAAACCCCTAAACTGGCAAGATTGCGGCATGAACCCTGGCTCTGCCAGGTTTGGGTGGAGACATGGGGTGTCAAGCATATATAGGCCCTTTGGCTGGGTAGGCGACCGCCCGCCAGCTCAGAAGTTCATGCCCTCATGTCAGGTTGACATATGTGCCTAGGCTAGGCGGCTTGACAAGTGCTGATTGCGATGGGAGCTTTAGCTTCAGAGGGGCTTAAGGCTTAAGAGCTTTTTGTAAGTACCCATGTGCGAGCCCGGCTCAGACGCAGGGTCCGCCCGCTCCCCTGACTTATATTTCAAGGGTGCTCCTTTTCGTTCTCAAGATCGCCACATGCCGTATCTCTCTCAGCTCACCGCGGTCCCGGCCGGCTGGCCCCTGGAGACCGTCCTCGACGCCTTCGTGCACTTGGCGTCGTACGACCCTGCTCGTGCCGATGTGCAGCGCGCCCTCAAGGCCGTGGAGGCGCGGGCCGTGGAGCTCTGGGCCGCGCGGCCGGCGGAGGCGGCGGCCTGGCGCGGTCTGAACGAGGACCGCTCCCAGGAGCGGCTCGCCGAGCTGCTCCTCCAGCACGCGCGGAGCGAGCGGAGCCGGTGCTTCGTCAACTCCTTCTCGGAGGCGGGGCTGGAGCGAGAGGCTGGGAGTTGGACGCTTTCGCCGAAGTGGCAGGCTCGGCTCCGCCCTCGCTGCTGGGAGCTCGCTGGGCGGCTGGCAGCGGCCGAGGCGGAGGCCGAGGAGACGGCGCGGAAGCGGCAGAAAGTGGAGGAGAGGGGCCAGGAGGAGCCGCTGCGGGAGGAGAAGAGGCAGCTCGCCGAGCGCCTGGAAACCGACGCAGCCGAGCTCCAGGCGGCGAAGGAGGAGGTCGCCCAGCAGAAGTTGGAAAAGGAGCATCTCGGCGCCAGCTTGGAGGCGTCGCAGGCGGCAAGTGCCGAGAAGCAGCGGGAGCTCCAAGCCGCGAAGCGCGAGTGCGAGCTGCTCACGGAGCGACTGGCGGCAGCAGAAGACGTGGTGGCGGAAAAGGCACGCGAGCTCCAGGCCGCTCAGGACGAGGGTGCCGCGCAGAAGGAGTGGTGCGAGCAGCTTGCGCGTCGCTTGGAGGCATCAGAGGCCGAGGCGTCTCGCATGCGGAGTGAGGCGCAAAGCCTTCAGCAGCAGTGCGACAGGCACAAGGAGCACGCGCAGCTCTCAGATCGCCTCTCCGTTTCCGGAAACAAGTCAGATTTGCAGACCCTGCTGCTGGAGAATGCAGTGTACAAGGATCGCTGTGAGCAGCTTCCCAAGCAGCTGACCAAAGCGGAGGAGAAGTTAGGCCAGATGCAGGAGGAGAAAGGGATGTACAAGGAGCGCTGCCGTCAGCTGGCTTGCCAGCTAGCTGAGGCGAAAGGCTTGCTCCCGATTCAGGCCACCTTCGCCAGCCACGGCCCCCCGAATCTCCCCAAAGATGCCTCCAGCCCTGCATCGAACCTCGCCGAGGAGATGGGGTACACGCTGGTCCAGACTGAGGGCGAGGGCAATGCTGGCAACGCCGCTTCGGCGTACCGCTCGTCAGGGTTCTCCGTCCAGCCGGGCTGTTTCATGCTGGACGCCGTCTTCCAGTGCCGCAGCTCCCTCATGGACCCTTATCTCACGGGCAAGGACCTGCGGAAGGGCTCGCAAGTGGTGGCCGGGGACGGCGAGAACATGTTGGAGGTGGTGGACATCTCGAAAGGCCGAGCCACAGAGGTCATCAGCTTGGAGGCCGGGGCTGCGACGTTGCGGGTCACCCCGGATCATCTCGTGCAGGTGCCCGACAAAAGGGGCAAGGTGTCTGAGATTCTCTACCAGGCGGCTGGGAAACTGGCGGCGGGTGACCTGGTGGTGCTCGATTCCGGGGAGCCCGCAGCCCTCACTGGCATCCACACGGAGCCTAGCGAGTGCGAGGTGCTGAAGGTCGTTTTCGAGCCGGACCTGCCCGTGGCCGTCTTCTCCTGCCCACCCTGCATCCTCAGCAAGGGCCAGACGAAGAAGCCGCCTCGCCGCGGAGGGATGTGCCGGCGGGGCCAGGCCGCCGATCAAACGGCCGACGGAGGGGCCTCCATTCCCGATACTGCGGCGGGGGAGTACATGGACTGAGCCTATGAGCCTACGAGGCCACCCGCGAGCTTAAGTTCTTAAATTCAGTTCTTGGCAACACGACCAAGCAGCTCAGCGCACGGCCGCCTCGCCAGTGCCTCATGCTTGGCGTCATCGTTGCCCAGAGTCAGTCTGAAGTGCGGTGCACGCTTTCCAAGGTTACTACTTACAGTTACACACACGACATCTGCTGAGTAGGTGTGTAAAGTATGGCCTCACCCCCTTAGCAAGCAAGCAAGCAAGCAAGTGAACGATCATACTCATGAGCAGCGATGTGGGGGTCGTGTACGTAGGCTCTCAAGAGTGTGCAGGATGTAACTCTGGACTTGCAGTGCCCGCACGCCAGTCGTTTCAATCTTCCACGGGCTCGGCTCGCAAGTTTTGGCTCCCCCCTTGGCGCCGAAGACCGCCAAGGGAAGCGGTTTCAGGAAGGGGGTGCGGGACAGCCGACGTAGAGCTTCTCAGGACTTTGCAGCCTCGACATCCTAGAGCGACAACCACCTTACGGGCTGAGCCTCCCCTGCAAGAGTCCCATTTGCATCTCAAGTCCTCGTACCACGTGCTTTTCCACTGGGAAGGCTGCATTCATGTGCTGTATGGCGAGGACTGCAAAAGGCTCCTGAGGGGTTTCCCGATTTTCGCATGTCAGAGCACACTGTGCTGCCCAAAGCCCTGCCATGTTCTTTTTTTTCAAGGTGCTACAATGAACCATAAGAAGCCATAGTAAACCGTACGTTCGTAAACCTAATCTACAATCAAAGAAAGCCATATAACCAGCCATGATGAGCCTGGGCTTGCAGCGTCCAAGATCTCCAATGAGCCTCTTCAACACTGTCCAGGTACTTTGGGGCCACGAAGCAAAGCTCGCAGCTGATGTGCTGCTTCTCGTGCACAAGCATGGCCCCGAACTCGGATCTCTTTCTGCGGAGCCTCCGAACCTCCTCTCTTGCGAAGTCAAGTCCATGGAGGCCCAGAAGAGTTTTTAAATAAACCCTACGGTATGACGGTTATGAGTCTAGTTGCCATACTTATTGACCCTACTTACAACTCTATCCTGGAACTTACACATTTTTTGAAGGCTAGTAGAGCCCCACAGCTCCCTTCTTCCCTTGCTCCGACGGCAAAGGTGTCGGCGATCTCGCAAATCCTCCTCACCGTGAACGTGCTCCTGGCCGTCTGGATCATTGAGCAGAAGGGGGAGGTGGGTTTCTGGGACGGGCTAGTAAGCTAGTATACCCTGTACTCCCTTAGAAAAAAGTCCGGTATAGGATTGACTATAGGGTTTATAAGGACCGAAGCGCGTTTTGCCGCAAACCCTACGTAGACCCTCTTCCCCCCCCCTACCAAAACAGCAAATACTCTTAAACCCCTGTAAACCCGCGTAAACGGGCGAGGGGCAGGCCCTAAATCCCCTTACAAGACAGCGAAGCTCTCTCACGTAACGATCTCAGGGCCCCGGCAATCCCTCTACGCCCGAACCCCAGTTGAGGGGTTGTAGGGTTTAGAGTTTAGCCTCTGGGGTTTGCCCGTTCGAAGGGTTAAAGTTTAGGGTCCACAGGTCTTCTGTGATGCCCTCTGCGTCGTCGTGGGCTGCAACAACCACTCCAGCCTCTGCAGCTGCGACATAGGCGGGCAAAGTGCCATAAACCCTACAGAGTCGAAACCCCCATGACCTACGAAGACCTTCTTAAAGAACCTCACAGAAAGCAGTGGGTTCCCAGTAGTTCTTAAGCTAGACAACCCTGAAGCCCCCTCAAACCCCCAAGGGGTGGGGTTTGGGGATTTCAGGGCGTAGGATTTCGGGTAGTTGGCTTCGGTTTTAGGGCTGAAGGTCGTTCAGAGTTTGGGATTTAGGGTTTGAAGCACTCATCCCGAGACCTGGGCTGCAGGCATTGCGCGGAAGGGAAGGGCATCGGTTCGGGTGTTCTTCTCACTGTTGGTGAGTAGGGAATGAGGGAATGAGATACCCTATATCCCCCTATATATACCCTTTACGATTTTCGAAGCCCTCAACCCCGGCAAAACCAATGTAGCTACCAAACCCCAACACTTTTTAAGCCCTCAAACCTGCCGACTTTTCATGCCCTGAACCCTTAAACCCCCAAACTCCGCAGTAGCCTGGTTACCTTAAGCTTTTCAACCCTATTACACTTCAAGGCCCTGCACCCTCCAAACATCCCCCGGCAAGCCCTTAAGTTGCAAGCGGCAATCGCAACTAAACCCTAAGCCCTAAGCCCTAAGCCCTAAGCCCTAAACCCTAAACCCTAAACCCGAAACCCTAAACCCTAACCCCTAAACCCTAAACCCTAAACAGGCCCTAAACCCTAAACCCTAAACCCTCAAACGCGGACATGCACGAGGCTGTAGCCGAGGGGACACCTGCTGCCCCGACTACAGCGAGGCAGCGATCCGCTTCGGGGGGCCCGAGGGTTTAGGAGTGAATGGGGTTTAGGTTTAGGGCTTAGGGTGTATGAGTGTAGGGGTTTAGGGTTTAGGCCCTAGAGTTTAGCCATGTAGGGTGCATAGGGGATGGGGTGCGAGTAAAGCTATAAGTAAGAAACGGTCTCTGAACCCCCCAAGAACTTGAACCCTCAAGACCCTCAACCCCCTACCCTACACCCCGAAAACCCCCATTAAGCCCCTCAGCTCCGAACCCAACAATCCTTAACCTACAGACTCAACAAACCCCCACCCCAAAGACTCAACCCCCCAAACCGTAAACCTCAAACCCTGCAGCCCTAAAGCCCCCTAAACCCTAAACCCTAAACCCTCAACCCTCAACCCTAAACCCCAAACCCCAAACCCTAAACCCTAAACCCTAAACCCTAAACCCTAAACCCTAAACCCTAAACCCTAAACCCTAATTAAACCCTAAGCCCTAAACCCTAAACCCTAAACCCTAAACCCTGACTTGGCCAGATCTGCATCCACGGGGTGCAGCAGAAGCGGCCAGAGAGCTCCCGGGGCTGCACCGCAAGCTTTTTGTGGGGTTTAGGGTTTATAAATAGGGTTTAGGGTTCAGGGTTCAGGGTTTAGGTTTTAGGGTTTAGGGTTTAGGGTTTAGGGTTTAGGGTTTGGGGTTCAGGGTTTAGGGGTTTACGGGTTTAGGGTTTAGGGTTTAGGCTTTAGGGTTTAGGGTATTCTTAGGGTTTACAGGGCTTGTATGGTTTATAGGGTTTGCCGGGCTCCGAGGGTCAAGGGCTGTAAGGGTTTAGGAAGGCATGAGGGCCGAGTCTTATGGTTTAAGGGAGACACTTGTAATTTGCTTAAGATGTGGGACTGTGTGCTCAGGATGTTTTGGGGCTTGAAGATGTTTTTCCGGGACGCGCCCAAACGTGCAACACCCTCATCTTCGTCTTTGTCTTTGTGGGGGCAGGTCAGGCGGCGCTCGAACATTGCTAGCAAACTCCGGGCAAGCCCATTATAAAAAGCTGGAAAGCAGAGCGGGCCTGGGGAGCCAGGGCACTTAAGCGAGGGCCGGCTGCATCGGAAGCTGCGCCATCGCGGGCGAAGGGTTCCAAAGCAGACAAGGCAAAGATGTACACAGCTCCAATGCAGAACCTAAACCGGGGAAGCGTCTCTCAGAACGCGGCTAAGGAACAGCAAGTGCCTCTCGCCGTCAGTCGGACACATTTGACTGCAAATTTGATTCGGCCATGCAATTGAACGGAAGCAGTGCTTTCAGTTGAGGGCCTTATGGCGAAAATTTTCTGTAAAAAGAGACCGTTAGCGTAGGCAGCCTCAATACTGAAGGTTCGCCTGAGCCTCAATACTGAAGGTTCGCCTGAGTTAACCTGTCTGGGTACAATATTCGAGCAGGTGCAGCAGTGTTACATCCCGGCAATCGCACAGAGGGCAGTGCGGGAGCACCCTGGTGCAGAGTGGATGCTGAGAGGCGCCCAAGGAATGCGGCCAGTGGCGCGACCCAAACTCCAAGTCTTGCAGTCTTAGGGGTTTAGGGTTTAGGGCTTAGGGTTTAGGGTTTAGGGTTTAGGGTTGAGGGTTTAGGGTTTAGGGTCGTGTCCAATGCGCAAGCGGATGCCCGGGCAGAGGTTCAAGGCGGGGCTGGAAATTCGGTGTAGGGCCAATCAAACCTTATAAGGAGGTAGAATGCGCTTTGGAGTCGCCATGTGTTTGCTTCCAAGCCGTTCCTTGCATCCCAGGCTGCCAGGAGCTCACGGACTCCCTGGATGCGGCGGGCAGCGTCGTGGGCGCGGCCGGGCGACCCAGACCCCGACTCGCGTCAGTTCAGCTTTTGGTCTGTGCTTGGGGGGTGGGGGGGTTTAGGGTTTAGGGTTTTGGGTTTAGGGTTTAGGGTTTAGGGTTTAGGGTTTATAGGGTTTGGGGTGTAGGGTGTAGGGTTTAGGGTGGATGAATTAGAATGGTTTTGCGTTAGGTTCGATTTGGTGTATAGAACGTATCCGAGACTTCAGATTGGCGTCTTGTACAAGATTCGCCATTCCACATGACTGCAACATTGAGGTGCTGAAAGCCAAGCTGCTGGGCGATCCCCTGTGCACCCAAACCCAAAAACCCCGAGCAACCTTTGACAGCCTTATGCCCGAAAAGATTTCAAAAAACCCTGGCCCTGCAACCATGACCCCTAAGGCCCGAAAAGGCCCAAGCGAATTCGAACCCGAAACCCTTAACACCCCAACCCAGACATATCGCCCGTAAAAGCTGTAAACCCCAAATCCTTATACTGCAACCTCTCCGCTGATTCTGCAGATTTTCCTCGTGCTTTCGCCGCTCTCCGTGGGACTCAGCGCCGCCCGGGCGATGTTCGATGTCCAGTGCTGTATGGGTTTTGGGGTTTAGAGTAGGGAGGGTCTCTTATAGGGGTGTTACTTACCGGGCTGAGGGTTGAGGTTGCCTCTCAGATCCATCCTGTGTGGCATGGTTTTTTGTTGGCAGCCGAGGGTTGTAAGACTCGGGGATGATGACGTTCAAGGATGGTTCAGGATTCAGGGAGGGTCCTAGGGGTTTGAGTGCTTTAGGGGAGGGGTCAGGATTTCAGGATGATCTGAGGTCTTATAGGGCTTTTTTAGGGTTTAGGGTTTTAGGGAGAGCTGAGGTTGAGGGGTACAATCAGGGACAGCTAGAAGGGACCCTCAGTCTTCTTCCCCTACCTAAATATCCCCTGAATAGCCTCCTAAGGTTCCTTATAAGGGTCCCTCCTCTTGCCCAAATAACCCGTAAGGTCCCTTATAAGGGTCCCTCCTTTTGTCCCTTTTGGCGAGGTCTACGCTTGGTACCACAGCCGGAAGCTGTGGATGCAGCTCCTCGCAGGCCCCCCGGAAGCCTCCCAGCCACGAAGACCTCCGAGACCCCCCGCTGCCCGAAGTGGTCTCCACCTTTTTATCCCAAGAAAGCCGAGGTTTAAGGCTCGCGGTTTAGGGTTGAGGGTTTAGGGCTAGGGTTTAGGGTTGAAGGTTTAGAGTTTATAGGTTATTTCCCACCCTCCAAGATCCCAAAGCCACCCCCAAAGCCCTGAAAACCCTACACTAACCCCCCCCAAAGTCACCCCCGAGGCACCGCATGCAGGTTCCACGGTGCCAGGATGTCTTTGCTTTCAGGGTCTTTTGGCTTTAGGGTTTAGGGTGTTGGGGTTGACATATTGAGATAAAGTGTACCGTAGTAGCATGGCCAATCGGCGCTCCGACAGGAGCGCTTGTTCGAGGACATTGGCAGTTGAGAGTTGAACACCGAAACCCTTAAGCAGGGTTCAAACCCTGAACCTTGAACCCTTAAACTTAACCCGAAACCCTGCAACAACAGCGCCTAAACCCTCAAGCCCTTTAGACCCTAAACCCCTAAGCCCCTAAACCCCTAAACCCTAAACGCCTTAACAGGGTGGGAATGGCCTGCCGAGCCCAGGGTGTAATTGAGGTTCAGGGTACCTAGCAACCCCAATTCTGACTGCACTTGAAAGCCAAGTATAACCCTATCAGGGTACTTAGAGGTTTATACGTGGGTTATAGCTATGCACTTACAGTTGGGTTGCAAGTACCCTGAACCTCCAAGTAGAGTTTTCAGGTGATCTCCTGGTCGCGCAACCCACTGGGCGGTCGATGAACACCGAGGCCTCTTCCAAAGTGGAGCTCTTGAGTTTGATTTTTTTTTTTGGAGGGGGGAGGGGGTAGGGTTTACGATTTACGGTTTAGGGCTTAGGGTGTAGGGTTGAGGGGGGAGGAGTGAAGAGGGGCCATTGGGGGTGCTAGGAGTTTGGGGTTGGCTGCTTTGTCCTCCTCCGCAAGGCCTATTTGGAGTTGTTGCAAGATAGTTCGGAGTTTGAGGTGGTCGAGTTTGCGGTTGTGGTTTGAGTTGAACGTAGCCTTGCAAAGCGGGCTGGAAAGGACGGATAAGGACGAGGTCAGCGTGTGCGTGCGTTAGAGCGTTCTTGGGAGACGTTCTTGCAAAAATGGGCCCGTCGTCCTCAACCCGAAGCCCCAAACCGTGGACCCTGAAGCCTGCTTCCTATACCCGACGCCTTACGAGCCCACTTTATATCGATGTAAGCCCACTTTATCGATGGAATCTACTTGCCGGTTCGATCGATACCGATACGTTTCCACATTGTTTGTCGATTCTTGTAATAATTGGTTTTATGGATGGCAGCGGTTCGGCTCCATACCGATTTCTTACCAGGCTTAGAGTCCAGTGCTTGCTTCTTGGGTCTCTAGGGTTGAGGGAAGCCTTTCAGAACCTTTGAATCTGTACCATGTTTGGAGTTCTGGCCCTGAGTTTTTGGGAGTGCTCTGCTGAAGGCCCCAGCAATGCGTTCCGACAATTCGGGCAAAAGCGCCCTTGCAGTTCGATACCGACACGGATTCCATGTCGGTAAGTTGGTTTTTGAACATCCATGTCACACTCAGCATCCTAGAAGTTGTAGTAGACCTTGGTCTCAACCACCCGAAGTGACCCAACTGTCGAGAATCCGAGATGACATATCTTAGACTCTTAGACACTCCCAACCCTAAGTGTATCCTCGCTCTTCATTCTCCCAATGTCTGCCAGCCGTAAACCCTGAACTCTAAACCGAATAAAACCTCTATAAGCCTATGACCCAACCAGCCCTATGGCCTGTCCATCCGCTTAACCCCTACATAACCCTACGTGACCCTATAAACCCTACGACCCCTAGAAACCCTGTAAGCCCTGTAAGCCCTAGCAATCCTGTAACCTTATAACCCTAAAAACCCTAAACCCTTGGGCACATCGGTTCGCGTCGCAGGTGGCGGAGTAGATTTGGTGGCGGCAGCCTCTGAATCTGTGCGTGCTGGGAGCGAGGAACAAGCGCTGCTCCTGTGTTTAGGGTTTAGTTTTTGTTGGTGTTTGATTCAGCAGGGTTATAGGGTTGAGTCTAGGGCTTCGAGCTTTGAGTTAAGAACAAATTAAGAACATTTGTTCAAAGACTCTGTTTCCTCTCTGTTGTTGTGGGGGGGGGGGGTTGCTCCTTTCATCAGGAAGCCCTTACGTAAGGACAACTACTCCCCCCCCCCCCCCCCCCCAAATAGAAAAAGAATCAAAAGAATCATCATCTACAACCATTCCTTTGAGGCCTCTCATGTACAGTCCCGCCCCCTTCCCTCCTAGTTGTGAGAGTCTTTCATGGGGGGTTTGAAGGTGTTTTGGGTTCAGGTCTTGGGTTCTAAGGTCCAGGGGTCAGGCCCGAAAGAAGTCAAGAGGCTACTTATGGGGACTGCTACTAGAAGGGGCATAGCATCCCTACACTACATGCTCTGTGCCAGATTCCTTTGTGCTTCTCCTCGCTGGGGCTTTTTGCCTCGGGCGCTCGCGAACGCAGCTTTCTCCTCTGGATCAGACCGCCAGTTTGTAGGCGCTTCGGGTTTATAGCTTGTACATGGAGTACAGGATGTACGGTCGAGGGAGAGTTGCGTTTGATCTTGCAAACCCCTGAACACCCTATCTCTAGACTGCACACCAGAATGCCCCCGACTCAGAAGCACTCAGGTTTCGTGATGTCATGGGCTTCTTCTTCTTCTTCTTGAGCTGTCAACCTTTGATCCAACACCCTAAATCCCCTGGCCCCAAGCCGAAACCCCAAGCCCTAAGCCCTAAACCCCAATCCGTAAACCTTCCCCAAACCCCTAAAAGCCCAAAACCCGAAGCCCTAAACCCAAAGCCCAATCCCTAAACCTTAAAACCCCAAACCCGAAACCCCCAAAACCCCAAACACCCTAAACCCTATAAACCCTATAAACCCAATAAACCCTATAAACCCTACAAACCCTATAAACCCTATAAACCCTATAAGCCCTATAAACCCTATAAACCCTGTAAACCCTATAAACCCTATAAACCCTATAAACCCTAAACCCTAACCCCCCAAACTCCGCCCCTAAACCCTATAAACCCCAAAACAACCCCAAAAACCCTAAGTCCCATAAGTCCAGCAGCGCTTTGCCTTCGGGCGCCTCGGATGCCCATGGCCCTGGGGGGTCGAGGGCGGCCCAGCTCCAGGATGAGCTCCTCCAAGGCAGGAAGGAGGGCGTGGCAGATTATTTGCAAGGTTTTTTGTTACATATATATATATATTTCAAAAACAACTTATTTGTAATGATATATATATATATATATATATATGTATGTGTGTGTGTCATGCACATATATATGTATAATGAACCATGCATGAATAGGCATATATTTGCGGATCATCTCTATAGTCCACTGCCAACATAGCCTAATCAGAAAAGCACATCGGCCGAAAGTTCCTGGTTCTCCTAGAACCCATAGAGCAAAGAGACAAAAGCCAACGGTTTTCCGGGTTGAAGGTGCGTTCTCAGTTTCCAAAGCATTGGCAGCTCGAAAGTCCGGGCTTGAAGGAGTTGTTTCTCCGGGGACCCGAGCTGGTTTGAGGCTTAGTGCTGTTCATAGGGTTCAGGGTTTAGGGTTAGTTGTTTGCGGTTTTTAGGGCTTGTAGGGTTTAGGGGGTTTGAGGCTTTTGGGGTTTAGGGCTTGAGGGGGCTTTCGAAGATGCAAGAGTCGAGCGGCACAGCGTGCATTGGGAGATTTCATTCTTGAGAAGGTGGCGGTGTGAAGAAGGGCTGCTTGGAGGTTCATGGGGATGTGTAAGTAGAAGGTTGCAGGTACCCGGGTACCCTAAGCAGGGCTATCGTTGCTATACTTATCACCCTGCACTTAGAAGTACCAATCAATCACGGGAGCTGAATCTCTGACCCAAAAACGTGAAGCCAGCAATCCAGCAAGCCCGAATTCAACGCACCCTTAATCCTCCCTTGAGAGCCCCAAACCTACCTTCTGTAGGTTAAGAACTCTTCTGGATCATATCTGCAAACAAGTATAGTAGGGTTCCTAAGGTGGACGATGAAGCTGCCGTTATTTCGATTGTGGCGCCTGTTGCTGAAGTCTGAAGACTTTCGGGTTGAAGGTTTACAGGCTTCAGGGTTTCAGGGTTCGGGGATTGTCGGGTTATGTTTCGGGTGTAGAATGCCATTGTCACTGGTTCTACTCACATTGAAAGAAGTCACGTGTTTGTGGGCTTGGTTGTGGATGTCGTGGTAGCATGCTGAGGTCGGTGCCTGATTGTTAAACCCGCCGTCTGGGCTTCTGGTTAGGTAGGCAGATGGCTCTCAAGCGCGTGGAACCTGAAACTGAAACCCAAGCATGAGGACACCTCCTTCAGCCCGCCGAAAACGCCCCCAACGCACGTGCGACTCAACAATCAATGCCGACCCGACGCCCTGAACCGAGATCGTGGAGCTGGCGTGGGAGATGGGCGCGGCGGCGCGCGCCGAGGCGTGCAGCATGACTTTGCCTCTGAAGTTCGGAGTTGCATTGTTGAAATCCCTTCTTTGCTCTGCGCCGCTTGGGCCTGGAAGGTTGTTTTGCAGACGTTTGCGCGATCTTTGTAGTCTCTGGGCTGTGGAGGGCATCCGTTGCATGAGAGTCTTGCCTTTTTTTTTTTGCAAGTGCGCATGCGCGAGCCCGGCTCAGAGACAGCGACTTCCAGGAGAGAGCTCGACCCCCTGACAAGGTGCTCCTTTTCCTTCTCAAGATCGCCCTAATGCCGTATCTTGACGAGCTGACCGCGGTCCCGGCCGGCTGGCCCCTGGAGACCGTCCTCGACGCCTTCGTGCACTCGGCGTGGTACGACCCGTGGTGGGACCCTGCTCCTGCCGATGCGCAGCGCGCCCGAGAGGCGCTGGCGGCGCGGCTGGTGGAGCTCTGGGCCGCGCGGCCGGCGGAGGCGGCGGCCTGGCGCGGTCTGAACGAGGACCGCTCCCAGGAGCGGCTGGCCGAGCTGCTCTTCCAGCACGCGCGGAGCGAGCGGAGCCGGGGCGTCGTCGGCTCCTTCTCGGAGGCGGGGCTGGAGCGAGTGGCTTGGAGTTGGACGCCTCCGTCGGAGTGGCTTGAGGCTCATCTCCGCCCTCGCTGCTCGGAGCTCGCTGGGCGGCTGGCAGCGGCCGAGGCGGAGGCCGAGGAAACGGCGCGGAAGCGGCAGAAAGTGGAGGAGAAGGGCCAGGAGGAGAAGCAACTGCGGGAGGAGAAGAGGCAGCTGGGAGAGCGCCTGGAAGCCGCCGAAGCCGAGCTCCATTCCGCGAAGGAGGTCGTCGCCCAGCAGAAGTTGGAGAACGCCAGCTTGGAGGCGGCGCAGGCAGAGACGCAACGGGAGCTCCAAGCCGCGAAGCACCAGTGCGATCTGCTCACGGAGCGCCTGGTGGCGGCGGAAGCGACCTTGGCGGACAAGGCGCGCGAGCTCCAGGCCGCGCAGGACGAGGGTGTCGCGCAGAAGGACTGGTGCGAGCAGCTTGCGCGTCGCTTGGAGGCATCAGAGGCGTCAAGAAAGCGATGTGATCTCCAAAGGTTGCAGACAGATTGTGACAAGCAGCAGGAGCACTGCGAGCAGCTCGTGACCCGTTTGACTGCTGGGGAGGCTGTCTCCGGAAAACAGCCGGACTTGCAGACCCTGCTGGAGAATGCAGCCCTCAAGGAGCGTGGCGATCTGCTCGGGCTGCAGCTGGCCAAAGCGGAGGAGAAGTTGGGCCATGTGCTGGTCGAGAAGGGGGCGTGCGAGGAGCGCTGCCGGCAGCTGGAGCGCGAGCTTCGGCTTGCCGAGGTGAAGGAGCCGAACCGCTTGAAAGGCGGAGTCTCGGTTCAATCCCCCCTCACCAGCCACGGCCCAGGTCTCTGCGAGGCGGCCTCTGGATCGAACCTGGCCGAGCAGATGGGGTACACCCTGGTCCAGACCGAGGGCGAGGGCAATGCCGGCGATGGCACCTCGTCAGGTTTCTCCGTCCAACCGGGCTGCTTCATGCTGGACGCCGTCTTCCAGTGCCGAAGCTCCATCATGGACTTCTATCTCGCGGGCAAGGACCTCCGGAAGGGCTCGCAAGTGGTGGCCGGGGATGGCAAGAGTACCTTGGAGGTGGTGGACATCTCGAAAGGCCGAGCTGCCGAGGTCGTCAGCTTGGAGGCCGGGGCTGCGACGTTGCAGGTCACCCCGGACCATCCCGTGCAAGTCCCCGACAAAAAGGGCGAGGTGGCAGAGATTCTCTACCAGGCGGCTGGGAAACTGGCGGCGGGTGACCTGGTGGTGCTCGATTCCGGGGAGCCCGCGGCCCTCACTGGCATCCACACGGAGCCGAGCGCGTGCGAGGTGCTGAAGGTCGTCTTCGAGCCGGACCTGCCCGTGGCCGTCTTCTCCCTCCCGCCCTGCATCCTCAGCAAGGGCCAGTCGAAGAAGCCGACGCGCCGCAGCGGGATGTGCCGGCGGGGGCAAGTGGATCAGACGGCCGATGGAGGGGCCTCCATTCCTGATACTGCGGCGGGGGAGTACATGGACTGAGCCTTTCGAGAAAAGAGGCTTGCAGCATCCGCGAGCTTATAGTCCGGCTTATTGATTAATTCGCAGTTCTTGGCAACACGCTCAAGCAGCTCAGCGCACGGCCGCACGGCCAGTGACTGATGCTTGGCCTCATCGTTGCCCAGAGTCATTCTGACGTGCGGTGCACGCTGTCCAAGGTTACACAGGACATCTGCATTTGTGTTTCATATGAATGATATAGCCATATTCTGATGCCCTTCACAGCAAGAGAAGCATCACACTCACGAGCATGCGGGTTAAGAGGGTGCAGGATGTAACGCTGGACTTGCAGTGCCCGCGCGTCAGCGGTTTCAATCTTCCACGGGCTCGGCTCGCAAGTTTTGGTTCTCCCTTGGCGCCGAAGACCGCCGGGGGCATTGCCGGTGCTTAGCTTAGCA